AACCATCATTGGACCCCACTAAATTTGACAACTTTCGGCCTGTTTCCAATCTCCCCTTTTTGGGCAAGTCATGGAAAGCGTGGTGGCCTCACAACTCCAGGTATTCTTGAGAGACACGGATTATCTGGATTCGGCACAGTCTGGTTTCAGACCGGGACATGGTACTGAGACGGTCTTGGTCGCCTTAGTGGATGATCTGCGCCGGGAGCTAGACAGGGGGAGTGTGTCCCTGTTGGTGCTCCTGGACCTCTCAGCGGCCTTCGATACCGTCGACCACGGTATCCTTCTGGGGCGCCTTGCGGAAATGGGCCTCGGGGGTACTGTTCTGCAGTGGCTCCAGTCATTTCTGGAGGGCCGCACCCAGAAGGTGTTATTGGGGGACACCTGTTCAACACCACAGCCTTTGACTTGTGGGGTTCCACAGGGCTCTATACTGTCCCCCATGCTGTTTAACATCTACATGAAGCCGCTGGGTGAGATCATCCGGAGTTTCGGGGTGCGGTGTCATCTGTACGCAGATGATGTCCAACTCTGTCACTCCTTTCAACCTGCTACTAAGGAGGCTGTCGAGGTCCTGAACCGGTGCCTGGCCGCTGTAATGGTCTGGATGAGGGCAAACAAACTGAAATTAAATCCAGACAAGACAGAGGTACTCCTGGTCAGTCGCAAGGCCGAACAGGGTATAGGGTTACAGCCTGTGCTGGATGGGGTCGCACTCCCCTTGAAGGCGCAGGTTCGCAGCTTGGGTGTGATCCTGGATTCATCTTTGAGCCTGGATCCCCAGGTTTCAGCGGTGACCAGGGGAGCATTTGCACAGCTTAGGCTCGTGCGCCAGCTGCGCCCGTACCTTGGGAAGTCTGACTTGGCCACGGTGGTACACGCTCTGGTCACATCCCGCCTTGACTACTGCAACGCTCTCTACGTGGGGCTGCCCTTGAAGACGGCCCGGAAGCTTCAGCTAGTCCAGCGCGCGGCAGCCATGTTACTAACAGGAGCGGGACGCAGGGAGCATACAACGCCCTTGTTGTTCCAGCTCCACTGGCTGCCGATCTGCTACCGGGCCCAATTTAAGGTGCTGGTGTTGGCCTACAAAGCCCTAAACGGTTCCGGCCCAAAATACCTTTCTGACCGCATCTCGGCCTATGAGCCCACGAGGGCCTTGAGATCATCTGGGGAGGCCCTTCTCTCGATCCCGCCTGCCTCACAGGCACGTCTGGCGGGGACGAGAGATAGGGCCTTCTCGGTGGTGGCCCCCCGGCTGTGGAACACCCTCCCTGTAGACATCAGACAGGCGCCCTCCCGTATGTCATTCCGCAGGAGCCTAAAGACATGGTTATTTGAGAAGGCGTTTAACTAAGTGCTACAACAATTGGCAATGACGACTGGAACGGAATATGGATTACGAGATTGGTTTATGATTCTACGATGAGACGGCGCGGATGATTTAGAGTAATTATATTATTGTTGTATTATTGATAGTTTTGTTGATATTTCGTTGTGTTATTGCTTTATTGTAAACTGTTTTTATATGTTGTACACCGCCGTGAGTCGCCCTAGGGCTGAGAACGGCGGTCAACAAATGCAGTAAATAAATAAATAAATAAATAAATAAATAAGCAGTGAAAAGATCAATAGTACAGGTTATAATCCAATATAATCCATATTGCCAAAGCAGGAGACTTGAAGCACAGGTTCAGTGTAAAGTCCATGAAATAGCATGAAGCAGCTTTCCCCAGAAAGCCAGGAGCCTGAGCAAGCCTTAAAGCAACATTGGAACTGACAGCGAGAAATCCCCAGAGCAGAGCATATTTTCACTAAACATCAAAACAAGCAGCTTTCCCACCAAACTGATGATCTCAACACTTGGCCGCAATCCGTGGGCTCCGTCTCAACACCTGGGCACCTTGACCCTGGTTCTCAGCGTCTGTCTTATCATCTGCATTCCTTTCCTGTGAGAACTGCGGCCTCTCTACAGATACAGGCTGTGACTGAGAAAACTGAAAGCCAACATCATCAGCTGCACTCTCACTCTCATCCCCATCATGCTGTTGTTGTTGAACCACAACATGATGATTAAGACTCTCTTTAACCACATTTTAAAATACTCTTTCATATCTCTCATTACAACTCTCTCTCTCTTCTCTTTCTGACTGTCAAATCCATATTCACACATTCCCTCTCTGTACTAGGTGTGTGTTTCTCTCTGTGTGTGTGTATGTATGAAGGGGGCGGTTGATCTCTATTTGCTTTCTGCTCTAGTCTAATTCAGAATTCAACCAACTGAGGCTGAAATCCCATACCTGGGAGTAAACCTCAGTCAAAGAAATGAGACTAACTCTGAGTACTCAGGCATAGGATTTTGGTCTCGTTTAGCTACCTGTTAGAAAGAAATATACTGTACACAGTGGTTTTTCAGAGTGCTTTCATCACCCCCTTCTCCTTGTTTTTATTACATTTCTCAACACAAGACCATTATTTTTACTTTGCTTCAGGCCAAGTGAGTATTTAAATAAGAACATGTAATCAGAAAAAGCTGTCAAGTGTGCTTAGTACCTGCAGAATGGTGAAGGAGAAATCAGACAATGCCACTTAAAATGTGTGAAGGTGAGAAGCATAATACATTTGGGGTGACACACTACCAATTTGAAAGAAACCATTATACTTTACAGCTGAGCAAGAAGGAACATTTGTAGGATATAAACACTCTGCTTTGATTTCACAGTGAACTGAAATCCTGTTGCCCTTGATCAATATAAGAAAAAGAAAGGAAGGAAAAGAAAAGAAATGAAAGAAATGCTGACTACCTCAACTTTCCATGACAAAAATCTTTCCATTGGAAAAAACGAATACAGAACTTTTTGCATTTCAAAAGGATCAATCCAACCTCAAAAGAAATGCTATCTTTTTATACTCTATAAAGAAGATACCATTTGTAAAAGAATATAGATTAGAAGTTCCTTAAGAGTCTGGAAGTACGTGCTGGCCCTTTCTTTGTTCATGTGACTCACTTTCTAGTGCTTTTCTGAAAATAAATAGATACAGCTATTACATGGTATAGGGAAACCATCCCCAAAGTTGCCTATTAAAAACACAACTATGGTTGATAATAAGAAGCCTGGAAGCTGATATATACCAGTGCAGATGATTCACCCATTGACCTCAGTATAATAATTGTTGATACGCTGCTGTTCACTGGGCCTTCAACAGGAGCATAACTGGAGATGCTAGGGAATCAACCTGAACCCTGCAACTTTTCAAATGCACAGGGAAAGTAAATCTATTCAGTTCTTTTCCAAAGTCTTGCTGAAGCATTATACCAATGTAACTTGCACACTTTATGTACCTGCTTGCATGTGCTTGCTTAATGAGATAACCAATAACCCCTTCCATTAATGGTTTTCCATTTTCCCAGAGTGCAGTGGATGAGTTGACTGTGTTAGTGCATCTATGCACTGACGAGGAATTTTTTTGTTTAAATGTTCGTTTGAGAATTGTAATCCTCTGTCAAAACTCTGCCAGTCTCTGGAAAATAGTCACAGAGCTTTTGGTACCTATCCTACATCCGGAAATTAGTGGCTTAGTTTAGCTAGGTGACAGAGCCAGAAAAAAAGTGCTTTCCTCATCTTCACTGTTTGGGTCAGGAAGTGGAAAAACCCATCACTATGAAATAACATGGAATTTGTTGGCATCAGCAAGAGAAACCATCCCATCAGCAACCAAGCTATCCTCCCAGCTTCTGCTTCCATTTTCTGCATTTAAGAAAGCTGTGTCCACTTTATTGTGACATAGTAAAATATCCTCAGTACCTACCACTAAGTAACAATAACTAGTGGCAATTTGTGTATCATTGGCCTTTTATTAATTCTATTTTGTTTGCAACACTGAATTATGCAACAAATTAAACTATTACAGTCCCTAGAGAAATGGAAAGTAACCAAGGAACAAGTCTTGTGATCATGTACATACATATCATATGAATTATGCTCACTTGAATCATTATGAATAGAGGGATGCTGCACAAATCAGGAAACATCAAAATGACAATGTTTACTAATGAAATATTTTCTTAGGTGGATATAGTCATTTTGAATATGAGGAAATGTGACTTTATTCTCATAGATTTCCATAAGGTGCTCAAGATTTATAGGTAGCAGAATTCTTCTTATTTTACAGTGATTTTTTCAGATCTTATTTTGTGAGAGCTATGTGACATGTCACTTTTTGTTTCTTAAAATATTTTGTTGTCTAATAAAGCACAGAACTGCTCATGGATGCTTGCAGCCAATTTACACATTGGGTTATGTTTTTCTGACAAAATGTCAATGTCCTGTCACACGCATTCAGCATCACAATATCCCATTTGCTCTGGAAAATATCGTATTCACATTATATAAATTCTAACATTAAAAATGGATGGGCAAAGGCATTTTGGGATTTTGGCCAGGCAGTGAAGAGCACACCCTTTAAAATACACGTGGGCACTATTCCTTGAGAGGCTGCCTGTGACTCCTCCACTCCTCCCTTCCCTTGATAACAGACATTGGACAAAATGATATTTGTACATATGAATATTAGGTTCACACATGAGGTCTGTGTAGTGAAAACAGAGATGCACAAAGTTCCAGCCCACTGATATTTTTTTTCCTTCTTGCCTGCCCTTAACCCTAGAGTGACACAGTTTCATCACATTGCATACAGAAAGTCATAAATGGATTTCAATCTGTGCTTAAGAAGGATGTGGGTACAATTCTTGTAAATCTTCCAGATCCTTTCAGACAAGCTTTAACCAGTATTTTTCTGAGAATGGCTTGGGAGAACTTTATCTTGTAATAACAAAATCTTTGTTCTCTCTCTACCATCATCTATTCAGTGTTCACATGCTCTGGAAAGCAAGTATCTAATTTAAGTGTAAGTGAAGCAAATACTTTATTTTCAGGCAACTAAAGCAAATATTTCTAATCTGACATTTTGACTAACATACAATATAAAATGATATTTACCTTTCTGCTTCTGGGGAATGGGAGGCTGTCCTTCCTTTGGTTTTGCTGCCTCTGAAAAATCCAATTTTCTTAGCTTACAAATATGCAATTTCAGGACAGGTTGTCTTGCATCCAAATCTACAAGTCATTATTTAAGAGAAAAGCTACACATGCAATTAAAGAAAAAAACCCACACTTGTAGCAGAGGAAAGGAATATATTTTTCCTCTAATTTTCAACTTTGGAGATTGAAAAATTCCTCCTTAGCTGAAAAGTAAAACTGGTGCTAAAATCTTTCCTAGGGTTATGGCCTCTCATAAATCAGGCTATTTCCTGGCTATATGCTTATAAGAAGGCATACATGGATAAAACCATTTTTGCCTATGTGGAATATAATGAATGAGTACTCAACTATCTTTTAAATACATTTGTATGTGAGAAGAACATAGTGAAAATATATTGTCAAAGGCTTTCATGGCTGGAATCACTGAGTTGTAGGTTTTTCAGGCTATATGGTCATGTTCTAGAAGCGTTCTCTCCTGTTGTTTTGCCTGCATCTATGGCAGGCCTCCTCAGAGATTGTGAGGTCTCACAACTCTGAGGATGCCTGCCATAGATGCAGGCAAAATGTCAGAAGAGAATGCTTCTAGAACATGGCCATATAGCCCGAAAAACTGACAACAACCCAACATAGTGAAAAATGATGTCCCTGAAACAATACCTGATGTTCTATTGTTTTCTAAATGGACTCAACTTTAATTTTCCTCTCAACTGTAAAATTAACAGTACACAATTATAAGTCTATGATTCCACATTAAGTGACTCCTATGAAATCTTGTGGTTTGTAGTTTGGTGAGTTACTAAAGGAGTTCTCTGGATGAGGATTTTTAATGCTCTTCCCTAAACTGCAAATCCCAAGATTCCATAGGATGTTGCGATGGCAGTTAAAGTGGAATAATAATGCTTTATTTAATATGAAAGGGTCCTATTTCCCTTCCTCTAATTTCTTGTTTTGTATAGCTTGTATTCAAAGGGCTCTCCTTAGTTTTTGTGATTTGCAACTTTCATCATCTCCACTGTTGGAAGCAGTCAAAAAGTGTCTTGATGGCCATGTGTTGCCCTATTGCTCACTTAAATCTCACAGAGTTTATTATTTTTGTTTTGTGTTTTTTTCTAAGAAATGCTGAGAAAAAGGACACAGTCACAACATTTATGGAATCTCTGTGCCTAGAGAATTTACTCATTTGAGTTGAAATACTGCTTTTTCAAAATGCTAACAGGCATGTTTAATCAACATGCAAGCAGTGTTTCATTTTTGTCCACACACCTGGAACACATATAAATAAACTAAAGGACATCAAGATAATTAGAATGATAATTTTATCACCCGCAAAATTTATTTTTCAAGAAAATATATACTTTATTAGGAAAAACTAGAGCGCATTACAATATAAATCAATAAAAGCACCTTGTGTTTGAAGGCAACTCTAAAGTAATATGCATACAAGCAAAGAATTCTGTGCATTGTGTTGGTTCCCTTTCATCAATGATTGCATTTATTTGCACTCATGTATTATTTATTATACATATTCAGATATGTATATATAGAGAGAGGGGGGGAGGGGGAAAAGTAGTTTGTGGCTATTTCTATGCTCCTTCCTGTCCCAATGTGTAATGGGAGAATATTATGTTAGGGATTTTGTGGTTTCAAAGCTTTATTTCACCAATTTATCATTATATAGCTTTTATTCTGTACTGTGTTTAATTTCCAAGTTTTCTTGAATCTCATTATTGGGGGAAAATGGAATGCAATTAATAATGATAAAGGATCTGTTTTAGAGACTCCATACAAGATGTACTTGTGCTGAATTAGGATGTACCAAAATTAAATTGAAAGAGAAGACACAGTCAGTTAATTAGATCCAGTGTCCACCACTTTTGAATTATAGCCCTATGGAAGCAGTTCCATAGTTAAAGCAATTGGCTGTTGCAGCAGCCAAATATTGAAGAACTTGCAAAGCATGTCATTTTAGGCCTTAAACAAATCAGCTTAACCTATCTGTAGGAAATTTTGGCACAGAAAACGTATTTTGTGAGAAGTAAAATGTATTATATGGGGAAAATGGATAATAATTCTTACATTTGTTTTAGACTTTAGTTTGCTTTAATTGTTGCAAATTGAGTTCATAAGTCCACACTTCATGAACTCGGCAGTGACAAAAGGAGAGGATGGATAGAATCTTGCCTTTCCCAGTGGAGTCAGGCAAAAGCAAACTGTTACAGTCACATCTAATTTGTGCATCTTTCACATTAATAATTTTGTTCACACTCTGATATTGTTTGGTCTCCCGTGATCAGTTTTTCCACTGTTAAATGTTGCAGGGATGAAAGAACAAGTGGAAGTGTGGCTGCATAGAAGCTAAGTTGGAAATGATCACTACATGTGAAACTGTACAAGGTGTTTACTGCTGCCATGACACAGAATACCTAAGCATCTAAAAGAGTCCCAGTTTTTACCGGTGAACTGTTTGAATGGAAAGTGTAGCTCTGTGGAGGATAAGTTGAAAGTGACGACAACATGTGAAATTGTGCAATATGGTTAATGTTTTCATGGCCATGTTGGTCTAAGTGTTCCTGCAACCCGAAACAAGAATAGCTGCCATCACTCAATCACTACTGCCCCCCTTACCTTATCCTATTCATTCTCATGCCGCACTCATTTGCTTCTCACATGCTCTCACTCCATGTATTGCTGGAGTCTACCTTGCAGGATCTTGAGCATTACTGGCATGTGAAATAAGTGCTACTCAATGAAAATTTGAGCATTCTTTAGTGTCTCCATTTTTTGGTATGGGGATATAAGTTGATTTTTTCCCCAATCAGATGGCAATTCTTGTGTTTTCCATATTTGCTGGCATATGGCATGCATCATTTTGACAGCATCATCTTTCAAGATTTTAAACAGTTCAGCTGGGATCCCATCGTCTCCTGCTGCCTTGTTATTAGCACTGCATCTTAAGGCCCATTCAACCTCACTCCTCAGAATGTCTGGTTCTAATATCCTTGATATTATTAACCTTTCTATACAGATCTTTTGTATAGTCTCGCCACCTTCTTTTGATCTTTTCTGCTTCTGTTAGGTCCTTGCCATCTTTATTTTTGATCATACCCATTTTGCCTGAAATTTACCTCTAATGTTTCTAATCTTCTGAAAAAGGTATCTTGACCACTTGCAGATATCTCAATGTACCATTCTGCCTGCTTTTCAGTGTATAATAACTGATGTGGTTAATTCTTCTCAGCACTCAAAGTTTCTAAAACATTTTATTGTTAAGGTAACATTGATAAATCAAACAAATTTATTGTTATCAATCCACAACTCCATGGAAAAAAGTGAACTGAAAAGGACATGCAATTTTACATTTTACCTTTTTCTTTAGCAGGAGCTGGAAGCTTCACTTTTTCTTTTGGAACATCTAGGAGGGCATATCAATGCATATTTTAATTAAATCAAGAAAGAGATGAGAGAATATAATATTGTCCTTTCCAACAGACTCAGGCAAAAGGAAATTGGAGCAGTCTCACCTTGCTTGTGAATTCATTCACATTAATATTAACCTTCTTGCTCTCACTCTGATGTTGCTTTGTCACAAATGTCCTAGTTTTCATGTGTGAAATATTTAAATATCAACACTTACCCTTTTCTTTGGCAGGAGCTGGAGGCTTCACTTTTTCTTTTGGAGCATCTAGGAAAACATTTGAATGCATAATTTAATTAATCAACTCAAGGAGAAGAGGTGGGATAGAACATTGTCCTTTCCAACGTACTCAGGCAAAAGGAAACTTCAGCAGTTTCACTTTGCTTGTGCATTCATTCACATTAATAATATTAATTTTCTTGTTCTCACTCTGATTTTGCTTTGTTTCATATGTCCCAGTTTTCATGTGTGAAATCTTTAAATATCAACACTTACCTTTTTCTGTGGTAGGAGCTGGAGGCTTCACTTTTTCTTTTGGAGCATCTAGGAAAACATATGAATGGTTAATTGAATAAATTAAATCAGTGACTTAAAAGAACTCATACTCATGGTGCAACTACAAAAGGGGAAGAAAATAAAAGGTTGTCTGTGTCTGCAACCAAAGCAGAAGTTCTTTTGGGGTATTCTGTGCATATTCTGATGTGCTTGGTCTCTTGTGTCCCAGTTTTCATCTGTGAAATGTTGAAAGGGGTAGGGCATTAAGAGATGAAAGAACAATAGGAAGCGTGGCTGTATGGGGGTTAAGTTAGTGGTGACCACTACATGTGAAACTGTACAACATGTTTATTACTCCCATGCCACAAAAGCCACAGTGGTGTAAGAGCCCCTATTAAATGATAGCAGAGTAACTGCCATCACTCTATCACAGTGGTTCTCAACCTGTGGGTCCCCAGGTATTTTGGCCTACAACTCCTAGAAATCCCAGCCAGTTTATCATCTGTTAGGATTTCTGGCAATTGAAGACCAAAACATCTGGGGATCCACAGGTGGAGAACCACTGCTTTATCACTACTGCTCCTCCCTACCTCACTTTGTTATATCACCCACTTGCTTCCCCCCTCTGCCTTTCTGAATTTTTTTCCTTTTCTTCTCCATCTCTCTCCACTACACCCCTCTCCTTTGGTCCTGCCTTATCTCACCTCCATGCCATCCTCATCATTGCTACCAAAATCTGTGGAGAGCAAGACTGTCTGAATAAGTTGACTTAGCTGTTATTTGCAGTGCTGACCAAATGTGAATTGCCAGGCTTGGAGGTACTGTCAAGGACAGGTGTTATGGGAAGGCTGTCCTTGGAGATTTCCTAATGAGAGTGGCAGCCCTGCATTTATACAACTAGCTACTAACTAGCTACCATAACTCAAGATTTTCCCTCGTTTTACCACTTCAGTGCTTAATAATTGAAGTGGTAAACTCTCCCTGTCCATCTAAGTTTCTGAAATACATTTTTAAATCCTAAAGCAACACTGGAAGAAACTGGAAGAAACAAGTATCATTATCAACCCCCACTATCACCATCATCAACTGGAAAAGTGTGAATTGAAAGGGATGTGCTTTTTTCTAGTAACAGTTACCCTTTGCTTTGGCAGGGGCTGGAGACTTCACTTTTTCTTTTGGAGCATCTAAAAAAGTATATGAATGCATAATTTAATTAATTAAATAGCAGAGGCAAAGAGACACATGCAGAAGTAAAATCTTGACCTTCCAAATAGTGTCAGACAAAAGAAAACTGCTACAGTCTCGCCCAACATGTGCATTCTTCTTTATTAATAACCTTTGCCATATTCCTCTCACTTTGATGTCACTTGGCCACATGTGTCCTTTTCATGTGTGAAATGGTGGAGAATGAAAGAACAATAGAAAGTGGTTCTACATGTGGGTCATGCTGGAGTAAACCAGTGATCTCTAATTCCTAAAATATTACTGGCAAAACAAATACATGCATCATTATTACCACCCCACTTACTAGTACCACTTACCCTTTTCTTTAATAGGAACTGGAGGCTTTTCTTTTTCTTTTGGCACATCTAGAAAAGCATATTAATACATAATTTTATCTCACTCTGATGTTGCATAGTTACATGTGTCCCATTTTTCATCTAGGAATTGTAGGAGGGATGACACAGCCAGAGATGAAAGAACAATGGGAAGTGGGTCTGTATGGAGCTAAGTTGGAGTTCACCACTACATGTAAAACATATAACATGTCTTCTGCTTCCATGGCACAAAGGCCACAGTTTCTCCTACTACTTGAAAGAAGAGTAGGTGCCATTAGCATATCACTGCTGCTCCTCTTTTCTTCACTTTATCCCTTCACTCAGTCACATGCTTTCCTTCACTGCCTTTTCTAAATTCTTTCTCTTTCCTTTTCCTCCCCTCTCCTGTCCACCACATTTCCCTGCCATAGCAAAATAATGAATTAAGTTAGTTGAAAGCATGATATAATGGTTTGAGCATTAGACTAGTATTTTGGAGATGAGGGTTTGAATTTGGACCACGGAAATCTACTGGGTGATTTTTGGCAAGTCCCACTCCCTCAGCCTCAGAGGTCAGGCACCCTGGGCAGGGAGTCCTTGGAGACCCCCCCTCCCCCCCACCTATGGATGCAGCAAACCAGAACTGATGATAGTATGATCAGGTACTATAACTCAAGATTTTCCCTGCTTTTCAGTACAGAATGACTGAGGTTGTTAACTAGCCACATTAAGTAGTTTCTAAAACATTTTAAAATCCTAAAATGACACTGGTCAAGTAAACAAATGTATTGTTCCCCCATGGAAAAAAGTTATATGAAAAGGATATGCACTTTTACTGTGAACACTTACCCTTTTCTTTGATAGGAGCAGAAGGCTTCACTTTTTCTTTTGGTGCATCTAGGAAAGTATATTAATGGATAATGCAATTAATTAAATCAGAGAGGAGATGTCTGAAGAGAATATAATCTTGCCTTTCCTAAGAGGTTCAGGCAAAAGCAAACTGCTGCCATTTTGCTGAACTTGTGTGTGTTTTTTCATTAATAACATTTGCCATCTTGCTCACACTCTGATGTTGCTTGGTCACATGTGCCCCATTTTTCACCTGTGAAATGCTGGTTCACAATCCCTGCAGTTCTCACTTGCAGATATTGTGAGTTGGCATTGTGGATAGAGTGCCCTTGGAGATCACCCCTCCTAATGAGAGAGGCAACCCTGCAATGACAATATGGCCAGCTACACAACATAACATTTTACTGCTTTTCACTGCATAATAACTGAAGTGGTTAACTCTCCCTATTGAAAAAAGTTTCTAAAACATTTCTAATTTCCTAAAATAACACTGGTAAAACAAATAAATTTATCATTATTATCAGCACCCCCACTCCCAGAAAAATAAGAATGGAAAAGAACATACCCTTTACTAGTAACACTTACCCTTTTCTTTGGTGGAAGCTGGAAGCTTTGCTTTTTCTTTTGGCATATCTAGAAAAGCAGATTAATACATAATTTGCTCACATTCTGAAGTCGCGTGATCACACATGTCCCACTTTTCCTCTGTGAAATGTTGGAGGGGATGACATAGCTAGAGATGAAAGAACAATAGGAAGTGGATCTGTATGGGGGCTAAGTTGGAGGTGACAACTACATGTGAAAGTCATGTTTACTGCTCGCATAGTATAAGTGGCTTAAGTATTCCTACTACCCAAGAGAAGAGTAGTTGCTATCATCACAATTGCTGTCTCTGTCTCCCGATTTCCTGACTCAGTTGCTTCCCTCCACTGCCTTTCTTGAATTCGTTTTTCTTTTTTCTCTTACCCAACCTTTGTGGAGAGAAAGGCTGACTGCATAAAGTATCATTGCTGCTCTGTATAGAGTTGTCCAAGTGAGGAGGGATTGTGAACTGGTATTGCGGGCAGATTGTTCTTGAAGATTACACCTCCTAATGGAGGAGGCAGTCCTGCACTGACAATATGGCCAGCTGCCACTTTGTAACATTTTACCTGATTTTCACTGCAAAATAACTGAAGTGGTTAATTCTTCATACTGAGAAAAGTTTCTAAAAATTATTTCCTAAAATAGCACTGATAACACAAATAAATATATCATTATTGCCACCACATGCATGCATACCAGAAAAATGCAAATTGAAAAGCAAATGCCCCTTTACTACTAACACTTACCCTTTTCTTTGGCAGGAACTGGAGGCTTCACTTTTTCTTTTGGTGCATCTAGGAAAGCATATTAATGCACAAAGTAAACCATTAAATAAAAAGAGATGTGAGGAGAGGAAAGGATCTTACCCTTCTCAATAGGTATGGCTAAAAGCAAATGGCTGCATGGGGGCTAAGCTGGAAGTGAACACTACATATGAAACTGTACAGCATGTTTATTGATTCAATGGCCCAAAAGTCACAAAGAGCCCTTACTACCTCAGGCAAGTATAGTTGCCATGAGTCAGTCACTGCAGTTCCTCCATTCCTCACCCTATTCCTTCACTCACTTGCTTCCTTCCATTGCCCTTCTTGAATCCTCCCATTTCCTTTCCCTGGCACTCTTCACTATGTTCCCTTCTTCGGTCCTGCCTAACGTCACCTCCCTGCTGTCCTCACCATTGTCACCAACCTCTGTGAAGAGCAAAATTGATTGTATCAAGCATAATTTTTACTGTCCAGTCTTGAATTCCCAGGCTTGGAGGGACTGTCATGACCAGGCATTGTGGTTAGGGTGTCCTTAAAAATTACCCTTCCTGTTGGGAGAGGACGCCCTGGGCACCTACCATAACTTAAGATTTCCCCTGCTTTTCAATATATAATAATAGTAGTGGTTAACTCTCCATCACCCAAAGTTTCTAAAGCATTTTTAAATCCTAAAATAACATCAATAAAGCAATCCAATTTTATTGTTATTCATTTTCCCAATAGGAAAAAAAGGTGAACAGAAAAGGAGAGTGCACTTTTACTATTAATATTTACCCTTTCCTTTGGTAGGAGCTGGAGGCTTCAATTTTTCTTTTGACACACCTAGGAAAGCATATTAATGCATAATTAAGTTCAATTAATTAAATCAATGAGAAGAGGAGGGCACTGAATCCTGCCCTTTCCAATTGGTTCAAGCAAAAGCAAACTGCTACATCTTGCCTAGCTTGTGTGTTTTTTCATATTAATAACTCACACTCTGATGTTGTTTGATCCCAGGTTTCCTCTGTGAAATATTGGAGAGAATGGGACACCCAGGAAAGAAATCACAATGGGAAATGTGGCTGTATGGGGGCTGAGGTCCCTTCTACACAGGTCCCAAACCCATGATCCATCATGGGTTAACATGAGACATCTAAACAACAGCTCAGGTTATCCCAGATTAATAAACTGGGTTGTTCCTGTTTACTTCAGATTAATACAACACCTCAAGAGATCCAGACCTTACTGAAAGGTCCAGATCTGATGCAGTGCTGGGCCTGTGGGGATTGACTCCTGGGTCTGTGTTCTGAAAGGTTGGGGATCAATCCCCATTGCTACCCCCCCCCATCCTCTTCAAACCTCCCAGTGCTTCATTTTGACATGTCAGAAATTTTCTTCGTGTGGTCTCAGCATGTAGTTAGGCCCATCCAGTAAGTTTAGGGTGCAAATGGGGTGGGGGTGAGCGGGCTGGGGGTTAGCTAGATGAAGCAACCCCCTTCAAAAGCACAGGGTTTGGGCCAGGTGAAAAATCCAATTTTCTTAGCTTACAAATATGCAATTTCAGGACAGGTTGTCTTGCATCCAAATCTACAAGTCATCATTTAAGAGAAAAGCTACACATGCAATTAAAGAAAAAAACCCACACTTGTAGCAGAGGAAAGGAATATATTTTTCCTCTAATTTTCAACTTTGGAGATTGAAAAATTCCTCCTTAGCTGAAAAGTAAAACTGGTGCTAAAATCTTTCCTAGGGTTATGGCCTCTCATAAATCAGGCTATTTCCTGGCTATATGCTTATAAGAAGGCATACATGGATAAAACCATTTTTGCCTATGTGGAATATAATGAATGAGTACTCAACTATCTTTTAAATACATTTGTATGTGAGAAGAACATAGTGAAAATATATTGTCAAAGGMTTTCATGGCTGGAATCACTGAGTTGTAGGTTTTTCAGGCTATATGGTCATGTTCTAGAAGYGTTCTCTCCTGTTGTTTTGCCTGCATCTATGGCAGGCCTCCTCAGAGATTGTGAGGTCTCACAACATCTGAGGATGCCTGCCATAGATGCAGGCAAAATGTCAGAAGAGAATGCTTCTAGAACATGGCCATATAGCCCGAAAAACTGACAACAACCCAACATAGTGARAAATGATGTCCCTGAAACAATACCTGATGTTCTATTGTTTTCTAAATGGACTCAACTTTAATTTTCCTCTCAACTGTAAAATTAACAGTACACAATTATAAGTCTATGATTCCACATTAAGTGACTCCTATGAAATCTTGTGGTTTGTAGTTTGGTGAGTTACTAAAGGAGTTCTCTGGATGAGGATTTTTAATGCTCTTCCCTAAACTGCAAATCCCAAGATTCCATAGGATGTTGCGATGGCAGTTAAAGTGGAATAATAATGCTTTATTTAATATGAAAGGGTCCTATTTCCCTTCCTCTAATTTCTTGTTTTGTATAGCTTGTATTCAAAGGGCTCTCCTTAGTTTTTGTGATTTGCAACTTTCATCATCTCCACTGTTGGAAGCAGTCAAAAAGTGTCTTGATGGCCATGTGTTGCCCTATTGCTCACTTAAATCTCACAGAGTTTATTATTTTTGTTTTGTGTTTTTTTCTAAGAAATGCTGAGAAAAAGGACACAGTCACAACATTTATGGAATCTCTGTGCCTAGAGAATTTACTCATTTGAGTTGAAATACTGCTTTTTCAAAATGCTAACAGGCATGTTTAATCAACATGCAAGCAGTGTTTCATTTTTGTCCACACACCTGGAACACATATAAATAAACTAAAGGACATCAAGATAATTAGAATGATAATTTTATCACCCGCAAAATTTATTTTTCAAGAAAATATATACTTTATTAGGAAAAACTAGAGCGCATTACAATATAAATCAATAAAAGCACCTTGTGTTTGAAGGCAACTCTAAAGTAATATGCATACAAGCAAAGAATTCTGTGCATTGTGTTGGTTCCCTTTCATCAATGATTGCATTTATTTGCACTCATGTATTATTTATTATACATATTCAGATATGTATATATAGAGAGAGGGGGGGAGGGGGAAAAGTAGTTTGTGGCTATTTCTATGCTCCTTCCTGTCCCAATGTGTAATGGGAGAATATTATGTTAGGGATTTTGTGGTTTCAAAGCTTTATTTCACCAATTTATCATTATATAGCTTTTATTCTGTACTGTGTTTAATTTCCAAGTTTTCTTGAATCTCATTATTGGGGGAAAATGGAATGCAATTAATAATGATAAAGGATCTGTTTTAGARACTCCATACAAGATGTACTTGTGCTGAATTAGGATGTACCAAAATTAAATTGAAAGAGAAGACACAGTCAGTYAATTAGATCCAGTGTCCACCACTTTTGAATTATAGCCCTATGGAAGCAGTTCCATAGTTAAAGCAATTGGCTGTTGCAGCAGCCAAATATTGAAGAACTTGCAAAGCATGTCATTTTAGGCCTTAAACAAATCAGCTTAACCTATCTGTAGGAAATTTTGGCACAGAAAACGTATTTTGTGAGAAGTAAAATGTATTATATGGGGAAAATGGATAATAATTCTTACATTTGTTTTAGACTTTAGTTTGCTTTAATTGTTGCAAATTGAGTTCATAAGTCCACACTTCATGAACTCGGCAGTGACAAAAGGTCTCAATCTTGAGAGGAACTGGAACATAAAATCCCACTTCCTCTCAGCATTTGGGCCTGTGCAGAAGGATCCTAAATTGAAAGTGATCGCTGCAAGTGACATTGTACAGCATATCTGCTACTTCTATGGTGCAAAAGCTACATTGGTCTCAGTGTTACTACCAGCTGAAGCAAGAGTAACTGCCATCATCCTGTTACTCCTCCCTGCTTCGCCTTATTCCTTCACTCCATTGCCCTTCTTGAATCTTTCCACTTCCTTTCCCTAGTGCTCCTCACTATGTTGCTCTCCTTCAGCCCTGCCTTATGTCATCTCCCTGCTGTCTTCACCATTGCTACCCAACCTTTGTAGAGAACAACACTGATTGCATCAAGTATTATTTTTACTCTCCAAGCTGGAATTGCCAGGCTTGGAGGAATAGTCAGGACTAGGCATTGTGGTTAGGGTGCCTATAAAGATCACCTGAAGGGAGAGGCAGCCCTGGGCAGACAATACTGCCAGCTACCATATCTTAAGGTTTCCCCTACTTTTCAATGCATAAAAACAGAACTGGTCAACTTTGAATCTAAAATATTTTTAAAATGTTGTAAAGCAATACATTTTTATTGATTTTTCTAAATGGGGAAGAATGAAGAGAAAAGGACAATGCACTTTGATAAGTAACACTTACCCTTTTCTTTGGTAGGAGCTGGAGGCTTCACTTTTTCTTTTGGCACATCTAGGAAAGCATAATTAACTCTGATCAATGAGAAGAGGAGGAGATAGAATCCTGCCCTTCCCAAAGAGATCAGGCAAATGCAAGCTGCTACATTTTGCCCTTTTTGTGTGTTCTTTCGCATGAATAATTGTGCTCACACTGTAATGTTGTTTGGTCGGTCTTGTCCTAGTTTTCATTTGTGAAATGTTGGCCTAATTTTAGAGATTTTAAATTATATTTTAAGTATTTAATATGTTAGTAATTATGTGGATTATGTTATGTCTTGTTCATTTATGTTGGTTTATAATTTATTGACTTGTTCTTGATTTATCTATTGATTTGTTTATATATTACTGTCGGTATTGAATGTTTGTGTATTTTGTTGTGAGCCGTCGTGAATCTGTTTGGGGAGATAGGGCAGGCTTTAAATAAAGTTTCATTTCATTTTGGAGAGGGTGGGATACCCAGGAAAGAAAGAAAAATGCAGCTGTATGGGGGCTAAGCTGAAAATGATCATTACTTGTGTGAAACTACTACATGTTTACCACTTCCATGGTATAAAAGCCACATTGGTATAATCACTGCTTCCCCTCCTGGAATCAACTAATTTCCTCACACCATTGGTTCCCCCCCCCCCCCACTGACTTTCCTGATTTCTTTCCCACTTCTTCCTCAGCTCTGCCCTTCCTAAAATAACATGTAATATAAACAAATATTTCATTATAATACACCTCCCTCCCCCCGCAACTGTGAACTACAAAGAAGTACAAAGAACATGCACTTCTAGTAACACTTACCCTTTTCTTTGGCAGGAGATGGAGGCTTCACTTTTTCTTTTGGAACATCTAAGGAAAGCAAATTGATTTTAAAAATCAATTAAATCAATAAGGCAATAAGAGAAGGGGATGGAGTCTTGTCTTTCCCAATAGGCAAAGGAAAACTGCAGCAATCTCACCTGCCTTGTGGATTCTTTATCTTGAATAGCATTAACATTCTTGCTCTCACTCTGATGTTGCTTTGTCACATATGTCCCAGTTTTCATGTGTGAAATCTTTTAATATTAACACTTACCCTTTTCTTTAGCAGGAGTTGGAAGCTTCACTTTATCTTTTGGAATATCTAGGAAAGTACAATAATGCATATTTTAATTAATCAAAACAAGGAGGAGAGTAGGGAATAGAATATTGTCCTTTCCAACAGGCTCAGGCAAAAAGAAATTGTGGTAGTCTCGCTTTGCTTGTGCATTAGTTCACATTAATAACATTAATCTTCTTGCGCTCACTCTAATGGTTACTTTGTCACATACATCCCAATTTTCATGTGTGAAATCTTTTAATACTAATACTTACCTTTTTCTTTGGCAGGAGCTGGAGGCTTCACTTTTCCTTTTGGGGCATCTAAGAAAATATATGAATCTGTACTTTAATAAATTAAACCAATGACTTAAAAGAACTCACACTCATGGGTGCAAGTACAGAAGAAGAGGAATATAAAAGGGTATCTGTGTCTACAACAGAGGCAGGAATTCGGTTTTTTTTCTTGTGAGCTTCAAGAGACATCAGAAATATTTTATTCTATTTTCCAAATCCATAACGTATTTTTTAAATGTATAGAATGGTATCCAACGAGAGATCAGGGTTCAAATCTCTCTTCAACCACGGGACCCCACTGGGTTAACTGTGGGGAAGTTACACACCATCAGCTTCAAAGGAAAGTAAAGAGAAGCCTCCTCTGAAAAAATCATGATAAGTTTGCCATAAGTCAGAAATGATATGAAGGTATGTAATACAGACACAATGCCATAAAAGATTTGAAATAACCATAGTAAAATAAAATAAGATCTAGACTTATATTTTTCTTCAACCTTTGGATATAGATGATGCATTATTTTCCATGTGTTACTACCTAGATTATTAAAGCACATGGAGGCATCTATAATGTGCTATCTGTACACATGGGCCAGTCCTGTACATAGCATAGGTTCATTATCCGTAAACTGAAAACAATGTTACTTACCTTTTGGCTTATGAACTTCTATTGTGGCTACAACATAAGATGAGAACACCTATTAAACATTTGATGGCAACATAGGTCTCCCACTTCATACTTTAAAATGGAAGACATTTTACAACTTAAAATAGAAACAATGCTATTCACCTTTTGGCTTATGAACTTCTATGGTGGCTAGAAAATAAAATAATAATCTCTATTAAACATTTAATTGCAACATAGACTTCCCCTTTGGCAAGTTACACTATCTCAGTCCTAGAGGAAGACAATGGCAATTCATCCCCAAACAAATCTTACAAAAAACCCATTTTTTTCTCCACTAACTAGAATCTAGTTTATGATCTAAAGATTTTTTTCCCATTTCCATGTTAAAATAGCCAACATATTCTTCTACAGTCATTTCAAATCTCCATGTCCTCTGCAAAGTCCTCCCTAGTGCCTGATTTATCAATTTATTACCCTTCTTGAACTAAATATATAGGGAAAACCCATTAGTTTTGCCACTTGTACTAACAGAAGAATGAGAAAGGGCAGAGATCATGGCCAGCTGTCAAAATGTGATTTTTATCATTAATCACATTGGTAATTCATCATAAATTTTTATCAGTCACCTATCCTCTCAAGCTAGAATAATACATATTCATGGTAACCTTCAACTATATTTTGAAAGGGGCAATTCTACAGAGTAGAATTTGGCCAAAAATGAGAAGGCCCTGAAGTATCAAAATAAACTACATGTTCTTAATCCAGGGTACAATCATACTTTAAGAATCCAGAAAAGAGGCAGTAAGGGTCAAGTTGACTTCTTTCTGAACCAGTGGGCAGAATGGTTCCTACATAATTTTTACTGGTATCTTCATAAGAGGACAGCACTTCTGAAAGATGGTTGGGTTTCCATATTTGCTTTTCAAAGAACAAGTAGGTTGTTTTTTATCTCCTCAAAATCTATCACATTCTCATAACTCTAGCTGCTGTGGTGGGTGATGGCTAGTCACAAAACACCATTTTGCCAGAAGGCAAAGTGATATAACTAACTGAAGAATATTATATGTTTATTTACTGAATATCCTGACTTTCTCAAAGCAAATGCTCCACAGCAGCAAACAACATTTTAAAAGTACAGAACATTTAAAATTTTTTAACACAAAATCTAAGCACAGAGAGTAGGCATTTGCAGAATTAAGTTACTTCTTCAAGGGAGAGGTGGGGCGTGACTTTGCGAAGATAAAACCAATCATTTGAATCCACAGTTTTCTCCTGAAATTTTCAGAGCATTTTAGCCATTTATTGTACAGCTATCCTAATTAAAACTGTTCACATTTTACACCACTCTTTTTACTATTTACTTCCCGAAGTCCCACTCACCTAAACAGTTTAGGAAAACCATTTTGAATTCTCAGCTAGAGAGCTGTGTAGCAAACAAAAGGAAGTAGAGAGCGAATGGTTTAGAACAGGGGTCCCCAAACTATGGCCTGCGGGCCACTTCCAGCCTGCCAAGGACACTTATCCGGCCCACGGAGGAGGAGTTCCCCCCCCCACACAGTGCCCCTCCCTTGGCTGGCTCACGCTATCCATCACGCCTGATGGCACGGGGCTGCTCCTCCCTTGGCAGCCTCATGCTGCCCATCGGGCCCGATGGGCAGCGTGAGCCAGCCAAGGGAGGCTGCCCCAGCGCTCCATGCAGTCATGCCGGCCACATGACCTTGGAGGTGTCTACGGACAATGCCGGCTCTTCGACTTAGAAATGCAGATGAGCACCACACCCCAGAGTCAGACACAACTGGACTTCATGTCAGAGGAAAACCTTTTACTAGGAAAATTGTGGAAGATCCATGGTGGGAGAAAGAACTCTTGTCTGTTGGAGGTAGGTATGAATGTTTCAATTGGCCACCTTGATTACCATTTCATAGCCTGACAGTTTTTAGGGAGAATCCTTTGTTGAGAGGTGATTAGCTGGCCCTGATTGTTTCTTGTCTGGAGTTCCCCTGTGTTTGAGTGTTGTTCTTTATTTACAGTTATAATTTTAGAGTTTTTTAAATACTGGTAGCCAGATTTTGTTCAGACTAGAAATAGGAAGATTTCCCATTCTCTGCTCCTGGAATTACTGCCTAAAGAGGGCTAGAAAGAACCCCCTCTAAGGGCCCTTCCACACAGCAAAATAAGATATGTGCAATGTGCATAGGAATTTTTTATTGATTTTTTTTTAAAAAAACTATAGTCCTGGCCCTCCAATGGTCAGAGGGACAGTGAACTGGCCCCTGGTTTAAAAAGTTTGAGGACCCCTGGTGTAGAATAAAAGCATCCTAAGGATTCTGAGCAACATGTAATGTAAAACTAATTTCTTCACAAAATCTTTGCAGTGAATAAAGGCAACAAATGAATTTTGAATGGTATTGAGACTAAATTACATTTTTATTTTAAAAAAACCCTCTAAGTATTGATTTTTTCCCCCTTGACTACGTGATTTAGACTCCAACACTAAATTCATATTACAGATTGTGAGTAAGAGTCAACATAATGTATTTTAAAGCAGTATTTAATAAATCTGAATAGCAAAAACTGTGAATGAGCATCAACATTGCTAGTCTTTGAATAGAAGTGGACTCTGTTCACAGAAAAAGAGTTACACAAACAGAAGTGATCTGTCAATGTTTCTTGTTTTGTGAATAAAACTCCTTCTCCACATGGAGTAATAATAATGAACCCCACCTAACAGCCTTAATACATCCCCACAGTTTTTCTTATATTGCCATTTATCATGCTTTGTGGAATGAAGGAAATGTCAGTGTAGAACAGTATGGAAATCATGCAGCCCTTGTTGGATTCCAATTCCCTGCAGCCTTAACAACTCCAGCCAGTGGTAAGTAATGCCGGGTACTGCAGTTACATAGCATGTGAAGGGCTGATATTTTTACTATTCCATGATTCAATAGATAATAATAAAATAAATCCACATATTGTATAGTGTGAGCCAGTGTAGTGCAGTGTTTTGAGCAACTACTTCATCACACTGGAGAATGAATCCACCTTAAATCCAATTTCTTCCACCTGCAGAATTCTAGGGTTTGTAGTTTAGTGAAGCTGTTAAAGGCATAACTACAAGGCTGTTAAAGGCTCCTCCCTAACCAAAACCCCAGAGTTCTTCAAGAGGCAGCAATTGGACTTAAAGTGGATTCATTGTCTAGTGTGATGAGATAGATTGTGCAAACCAACATTTGAATCTCTGATCAGCCATGGAAATACGCTGGGTGTCCTTGCACACATCACACTCTTTCAGCCTCAGAGGGGGCATTGGGAAATCCTCTCTGAACAAATCTTACCAAGAAAACTCCATGATAGGGTCACCTTAGGATCAGCATACATTAGAACGGACTTGAGGGCATTCAAGAAGATCAGTAGTTAAAGCATACTTAGCCCATTCAGACCCATCAGACCCATCAGGTTTACATTTTTGTAGCATTCACAAGAAAATTTTGTTTTGCTTGCCTGAGGCCAAAACTCTATATTTTTGCTTGCAATTACAATGCCCACACTGCTGTAGTGTATTGTGCAATAGCAGCTGCCTTGAAAGCAACTTGATCAAATCTGGCAGTACATTTTGGCCTTTAAATTCTCCTGACCTTCTGTCTTGACTCTACAAAAAAAAACCCTGCCACTGAAGAAAAAACATGAGGGTCAAATTGTATTGAATGTTGTTTCCTGATGGAGCTGAACTACTGGCCTTTCACGTACTCAACACCAGCAATAGGAATGGATTTGGCCTGATACTTTGAAAATCACACAATCATTTCAGGTCTTCTAAAATGTCACTTTGGTCCAAGTGAGAGAAAGCCAAAACTAGTTGCTGTGCTAATTGCTTCCAATTAACATCTGCCTGACTAGATGTGTCATTTTAAACCTCAAAGATATTAGAGATATTCATGCCAAGATAATTAGTTGTAGGAACTATTTGCTAAGACACATTCAATGGAAAGTAGATGTACAAATAATTTTGCTCCTGGCTTTCTTACATCATCTAAAGCAGAGAAGAGAACCCAATGCACTTATTTATTAAGAACTTTCTTTGGTTTATTTATGGCTTGTCTTTCTCCCAGGGTGGATGCAAGATGGCATTCAACATAATTTTATAAAGTTCAATAAAGAACTTATACACAGAAATTAAATCAATTATACTATTAAAATTGAATAATTGTATATTAAAATAATAATTTGATCTGCTTAAACAAACAGATTAACATTGGCTGTTGTCACTGCTTACTACTAGCAATACTATTTGGGGTTAATGTAAATTGTAGTCCAAAACATTTTCAGAGAAACTCCTTGCAAGAACAGTTTTGAAAGGTCAGCTCTACTATTCATAGAGCATTCCTGCCATCTTCTCATGTTACAATGAACTAAGGACATAGGAAATTAACAATGCCTTCTTTCCTAAGGCTGAACTACACAGTATGTTCAATTTAGCTGAGCTGCTCTCTTCCTTTCCTTTCCTTTTCCTTTTGTTTTTGTTTTTATGTAAGTATCTTGTGTTCCACTTTGGTCTGGAAACCCTTTTAGGCCCCTTCTACACTGTTCTATATCACAAGATCTAATTCCTTATTATATGCCTACACTGCCAGGTAATCTGGGATAAGCAAATAATCTGGGATCAGGCCCTGGGATATAGGGCAGTGTAGAAGGTACCACAGAGTAACATATAAAGAGGAAATTTCTTGTTAATCACTCCAGAGATCTGGAATTCGTGAATCTTTCACTTGTATAGGTTCCACACAAAAATCTTATTCATCTTGATTATGTTATATGAAACTGTTTTTACCAGTCAAATACTATGCAAATTAACTCACTAATATGAGTCCTAGGCCGTCTTCACACTTACCTCCCTGTTGCTTCATTTCACCAGGCATCACCAGCAAAATGGCAGATGCATGGGGTGCCTCATGGCATAACATACACCCTCCCTCCTTCCCCCATCACAAGGAGGGAATGGGACGGGACATGTTGGTGCCCTGTCCTTGTCCCCATCAGATGAGGGAAAGGGCAAAAAAATGCAGGTAGCTCCATTGGAGCTCCCAAAATACAACTTACCATGCATTGAATTCCTTGAGAAGATTGCTCCCAAGGACACTGCAAATCTATCTACATTTGCGTGAAATTAAAGCTGACTGAATATAAGACTTACCTATATTATGCACAAATTTAATATAGGATTGCACTACAGTATAATATATGTCTTTGATGGCAGCTAATCCGATGTTCCAAGAATGCTCCCTGGAGATGTAGTATTTAAGTTTTTTTTTAAAAAAAAAATCATTTGCTTCAGATGACCAAAGCATTTAAAGGGTCAAAGCAAGGATTTTTATCCTATATATTTCTGAAGGCCTAAGGGCATGTCAATTTTAATTACACCTTCACACTACTAAAATGTGGCTGCTGATTTCCCAACAGCATTCATGTTGTTTTCAGTAGCTTATATATATATTAAACCTTTCACAAGCGTGCAGAAAAAACATGGCTTTCTCCAGGCTAGACATTTGTGACCTTTCAAATTTCTTGTATTAGTTTGTTTTCCATTGCATTGTATTACCTTTGTCCTTCACTGCCACATCATGCTTTGCTTCTTTTTCTTTGGCATGTTCTGCAAAATTCACAGCACAGTTGTGTTACATTTTGGAAGAATTGTGGGATTTGAGATAAAGATACTTGTCACACGTGTCTAACATTCTTTGCAAAACTTTCCACTGCAGATTTTGACATGGGATACTTTCTAGATATCCAAATTTTCTCTAAGTATTAGATAGCATATTTGATTGAAGTGATTTGCATCAATTTAATGTTATTTTATGAAAGCCCACTGAAGAAAAATGAACAATCTACTTTACTTTTGTTTATGAATACTTAACATTTAAATGCTAAGTTTTGAACTATCATACAAGAAAAATATGAATGCAAAGAACCAGTAATTTCAACTATAGGTCTACAACAAAATTAACCTCATATAAAACAGTACTCAAAGCTAATCGTTCCTTGCAGAAGTGCAGACAAGAATAATACATTCACTGCAATGGTGCAAAAATTAATGTTGAGTTTAATGAGAAAATAGTAAAATATAAAAGTCACAACCCAATAGAAAGAGGAAAACCCAATAGAAAGAGGAAATCAAGGTCATTGATTTCAGTGCTAAAAAAGGGCTCATCTGGTTCACAGAAGGAACTGAAATGTACTGGAGTTTCTTGCTGGGAGAAAGGAAAGATAATTTTCCCCATTGACTGAAGGCCTACCATGATATTAATTACAGGACTGATCCAAGATTGGGGTTGGAGTCTGCAGAAGGTGAACCAATGAACGTTATCAATCAGCTAATCAATCAAAATAAAAAAACATGAAATCCTCCAAGAAAGACTCAAGAGACCTGTTGATCAAAGCCAATGACCTGAAGTGTATGTAGCTGCATTCAATTATGATCACAGACTGAACCCATTGGTATAGTCAAACTGTACTCTAAATAATAGCATTAAAATTATTTCCGACATATTATTCCTCAATGAAAAATTGTAGAATGCATTTCCACCCTAAATTCATCTATCTGGAAGTGGGTCCTTGTGATTTCAGCTGAGCCTTTTTCAAAGTCAATATGCTTTTCGATACTGCCTTTACTTCTGTCTTCATGAGTCAGCCTTTAAGTGGGCCCTCCTAATTATTTCTGGAAATTGTAATATTTAAAGGCATAGATTGCTTCTAATCATGCAAAGGAAATGTGCATTGCCATTACCTTTTAAAAGCCTGATGGCAATATTTCAAAAGACTTTTGAACGGATTACATGATTTGAAGAGATCAAACACTTTTGGAGTCTGTTTCATTACTGAGGTTGCATTAATTCCCAAGAGATCTGATAAATCAGATAATCATTCAGGAAATGTTAAAGAGGCAAACGTCATATTAAAGTGTAATTTAGCATTTGTGATGCAATACAAACATTTCTGTAGGAAATGCAAAGTGCAAAAGAAGTTTGAAAACACAGAATTTCAAAATAAAACAGTCCCTCTCCTTTCTTTTCTCTTCTCTCCTTTCTCTCTCCCCCCCCCCCCCCGGCCTTTTGGTCTGTGTGTGTGTTTTTTTGTTTTTGTTTTTTTGCTTTGGCATGATTAGCCATGGAATATATTCACATTAATGCTGGGTGCATCCATAAGTTTGAGATTTTATTTGGCTGAAGGGAAGTGGAGGATTAGCATGCCTCAGTTATGACAAGTATATTTAGTTGGAATATATGTTCCACTGAAATAATTATAAATTGCAGTTGTGGCTTGTAACTTTTTTTATCACTGTGGCAATGAATGATTCCAGGTTTTGACTGAGTTTAAAGAAATTATCCAAAGTACTCCATCTCTCATCATTCAAAAATGTGAACCTATGTGTGTATTGTCATTGCATACCAGGCCCATAGCCAGGATTTTGATTCGGAGGGGGGGGGGGGCTGAGTCTGAGTGAGAGAGGATCTACCCTAGCAAATATATACCCCCATGCATATGGGATATATTGAGCATGGTGATCAGATCATGATATGACTAAACGTAACAGTTTAAATAATGTATCAGTAAGGCCTTCTCACGGACCACCCTGAGAATTCTGGGGGGCTGATCCCCCTCAAGCCCCCCCCCCCGGGCTAAATGCATGTTGCATACTAATAACAATTCATGTTATTTGAGTACTGGTCTTTAGGTAACCAAAATGGCATCATTTTTTAAATCAAAAATGAAAGCATTGGTAATGTTTGCAGAAGTTCACAAACAGTAGTGAATGGCTTTGTTCAGTGACCTTGATTTGCAGGCAAATCATAACAAACACAAGCTACAGGAGAGAATGAGAAAGCAAGACATTTTAGCACTACTAAGAAACTGAATAACTGAGAAAGAAGGTCATCTTGATCAATCCATGACACTTGGAGATCATGGAAAATAGTATGGGATGAGACATGCAATGCCATTTTTGTTCTCCAGTGATAACTTAAATACGAATACCATTGTAGTAATCACAAATCCATACCCTACATTAACCGCTAGAAGTTGAAGTATTTTAAATAGTGGGAAATATAAACAAATATGCAGAACAAGTTGTTAGATTAGTGAGATGTAAGGTTAATCCAAAGTGTTATGTGACTTACTTGTTTCTTTTGGTTTTGGTTTCTCTGCAAAAGAAGAAATGATAAACAATAAAAACTCATCAGTTTCTCACACATATAACTTCTACTGCCTAATTAGAAGAAACAATGAGCCATGATATGATTTACTAACATTAATGGGTAAAAAACATCTGCTCAATTATCTAACTGATAATATTTTCAATCTAATTCCTATGCTTGCTACCAATTCCTCACTGACCAATACCCAGCAAACATTCATTTGTATCTATATTTTAGTCATGTTCAATCAATTATGAAGTGGAAGCAACTTTCCCATGAAGCATCAACAATCTCTGTTAAAATGATGGAGATAGCATATGTTAGATTCCTAATGCTACTGCATGAAATTTCTTTTAGAATCAAAGAGAAGATAAACTACTTCTGTTTTATGTTAGTTTATTTTTGCTGTTATATTTCTCTTTGCACCATCAACACTAAAGGGAAATTACCACTCTTGCAATTTGGGTAGAGATTGGACAATTATTTGAAGCAGAAATAACTAAGAATGCATGTAGACTTTCACAAATTAAATAACCCCCAACTGAAGACATACTCATGCTCTATTTGGCATAGAATGTTTCAAGAAAATAAGGGGTATAAAGTGTGGAGGGGCACAGGACAGGATGAACAAATCTATCCATTTCAATTTCCCTGGATATTTCATTTTCTTTTCAATCTTGGGATTTTGTGAAACGAGGCTGATAAAATGATGCTGTCTTTAGCCATTACAGCTCAATGCCACACATTTCTGTAATTGCTTAATATCCTACCCATTCCTGGTCTGCCTCTTTTAATTAATGGGATATATTCTTCAATACATCCAAATTGTGCTGCTTTTCCACAATAGATTTATATGTCACTGCAGTATTGCTTCTTAGTCAATCAGAGAATGGGAGTGATTTTTGAGTACCATCACTAGGCTTCCCCTTCCTTCCTTCCTTCCTTCCTTCCTTCCTTCCTTCCTTCCTTCCTTCCTTCTTATTTCTCCCTACTGTCCACATTTAATCCCTTGAAAGCCAAAAGTCTGCCCCACAGTATCAATCATGAAAAGGAGCCTTAAGATCCAGTAAAGCATTGACCACTGGACCCTGCTATTTATTTTTTTGTTACTAGATCTGATCTGTTATCTTGATCCATGGTTCTTTTATTTCAATTGTTTTCAATTTTCAATGTTGTTTTTTTTAAAACTCCCAGACTCTTATTTTAAAGGAGATTTCAAAGCTGCAGTACTTACTAATGTAGACTTACTGAACTCAGTGTGTTCAAGAATCGCCCAACAGCCATAAAATATTACACTGGCCAACACATATTTTGGTGCCTCAAATGTTAGACCTGATTCTGGGTGTATTTGCCTGGCAGGTTCCAAAAAATTGGCACCGGTTTTCACCTATCAACTCTAGTTTTTTTTTGAGATACAGAACATGTACTACATGTCAGTCTTCATCCCATAGAAACCATTATAACCATATCTAAGAAACTAAACCTTGGTGCATTATATCCAGTGCAATTTTCTGAATCAGTTCCTCAAATAACCCTAGGAACAGGCCTAAAAATTTAAGACACCAAGAACATTTTTGTTGGAAGGTGTTGCTTATACAGACTAAGGGCTTCATCAGACTAGCATTTCATCAGACTAACATTCTTGTCATCTTCTGCCTCCTGCAGAAATCTGGGAATTGTAGTTTGGGATGGTAATGATTCTTCTAGCTGAGAATTTTGAAGGCCTTACCCTGAACTACATTTCTCGGGAGGCAGAAGATGACAAGAATGTGGGGGTACCTGCTTTAAACACTAGTCTGATAAGGCTGTAAGTCATGCTTGTCCACTTTTTAAAAATCCGATTTGTGTGTATGTTAATCACCATGGAATAATGCCAGTTTTTTTATCTCATTTTACCTGGCTCTGCTGCCTTCAATGGTTTGTCTTCTTTCTTTTCATGTACTGCTGCAAAAGAAAGATAAAGGTTATGCCATTCTTCTAGTAAGAGGGAAAGGGGCTCATACAAACAAAGTCATTAAAAACAGTTGAATCTACTCCTTATTTGAAGGCAACTGAAATTGTCATGATATTGATCAGATTTACTTTCATTACAGGAGTTCTAAAACTCTTCTAAAACAACAACAGCAACCCCCACCCACATTTTCCAAGACATTTACAGATAAGTGGTGAGGTGTCCAGCTGCAAAAAGAATCATTAAGAAGTCACCAATACTGACGCTGGTACAAAACCCCGTGAGAAGCTCTTTTTAGCTTAGCAACAAAATCCTGCATTTACTTGGGAAAATGTCCTATTAATGGCAGTGGTTCAGGGTCTTTTAAGAATTATGTGCTTTAAAAAGTCAATTTGCCCACTTCACAGAGATAAACCTGACTTTGCAGTTTGGGACAATGGCATTATTGGACTGAAATGATTACTGTTTTCACTTGGCTTCACTCTATGTAGCCCCAGTATTAGCTAAATCTGAGAGATGAAGATGGAAAGGAGAGTCATCCAAAACTCCATGGAAATGTATCCATACAATGTCAACTACAGCAGTCCCTCCACATTTGAAGGTTTCAGATTTTGGAAATTTGATTATTTATGGATGTTCTCTTCACAAATTTCTAGGTCCTCCAGCTTTATAGTCCAATTCCACCAGAGAGTGGCTCAGAGTTACACTGGCAGACATAGAGGACTGGAAATTGATTACAGAGTTGCCCCGAAGGACCTAAAACACTTCTCTAGGCACTTGTAGGTCTTACAGCATGATGTTATGGTCAACCTCTAGCAAAGATTCACCATAGAGTAACACTGAAGGATCTAGAGAGATTCTTGGATATATATTTGCTCAGATAAAAAAAGATTTCGATTTTTAGTGGAAATCCTGAACCCCTAACTTCAAGAAATGTGGAGTTAATAAATAATAACAATAAAAACTTTATTTATACCCCACCACAATCTCCCCAAGGGACTCGGGAGCGGCTTACATGAGGCCAAGCCCAACAACACATCAATAAAAACAAAAAGCAATAAACAAAACAATAAATACAATACAATTAATATAAATCACATATAAACAATAACCAGTTAACAGTAACATACAATAATTTAAAAACCTATGGCTGAGCCAAATGTAATAATTTAAAATTTAAAAATAAACGCTGGCATGAACAAGGTAGGATATATCTGGTATAGGGTTTTAAAAGAAATGAGGGAGCGCAGTCCATACTAAACCAATAATAAAGTGCATTGTGAGGACATATTGCCGGGAATTTTCCTTATTCTGGGAAGGAACAGTGGAACAATCACGTTTTCAGGCTCCTCCCAAAGAGTTCTGCTATATTTTAGACTAGCCGTCTCCTCTTGCTGTGGCCCAGTCTGTGTATATGTGCTTTGTGTGTGTGTATATGTATATATTTGTGTATATGTGTATTAGTCTTGTTTCATCCAAACAAAAAAAAAGGTTCAAAACTCGTTTCGGATGTAGGGGGCACTGGTGGTTCGATTCTAAAGTTAATTCCAATTTTCACAGAAAAAAAGTTCAAAACCTTTTGAAACTTGCGAGACTTCTGAATCCTTCCTTGATGGTTTGAAAGTGTTATTTCCTGTTTCATTGAGTAGTTGTTTTACACCAGAAAAAAGGGGGGGGGAGTAAAGGGAGCAAAGGCACCCATTGGGTTTAAAAATGCTATGCAGGCTCCAAGGGGGAAGGGGGGAGCAAAGGCACCCATTGGGTTTATAAACGCTATGCAGGCTCCAAGGTGGAAGTGGGGGGAGCAAAGGCACCCCCTGGGTTTAAAAATGCTATGCAGGCTCCAAGGGGGAAGGGGGGGAGCAAAGGCACCCCCTGGGTTTAAAAATGCTATGCAGGCTCCAAGGGAGAAGGGGAGAGCAAAGGCACCCACTGGGCTTAAAAAAAAAAAAAAGAAATGGCAGAAAAAGCTTCGGAAGGGCAAAGGGACTTCCAGTTTCCTTAAAAAGTTCAAAATCGCTTCAAAAAGCAAATCTTTTCGAATTTATTCCAAATTTAGAACATTCCGACTGACCCTAACAAACTCTAATGTGTATATATGTGTGTTTGCCTATATATGTGTGGTTTTGTGTATGCATTGTAATGTATTTTTATTTTTTGGCTCTTTAAGTCTCTTCTGCTGTGTTTTCCAATGGTTTTATGAGATAGGTGTATTGTTAAAATTTGGTGTCAATTCACCCAGTGGTTTTTGAGTTATGTTAATCCCACAAACAAACATTACATTTTTATTTATATAGATTTATTGTTCCAATAAATTATTGTTCCAAGCTATATTTGGATGTAACAATAAAATATGGTGACCTCTGGCAAGAACAGTCCTAGCCTCCTTCCCATTGTTCTCTTTCTCTAACTTAGCTATGAAACAAGACTGGCATTATCTCCTTTTATTCTAGACTAATACCAATTTAATTTATAATCCTATGAAGTCTAGTAAACCATAACTTAATACTGAGCTAGTATACATCCCTTTCCTTACATTTCTACAAAGTCCACCCAATCACACCATTTATATTATGAAAAAAAAATCCCAAAGAGAAAAAAAAGCAAACACAGAGTCTAGACTAAAGAACAGGGAATTTTAAAAACTGTTAAAGTGTGTGGGTGGATCATGTACCTTTTTTGGCCAAATGTGCTGCAGGTTCTATTTTGACAAGTTCCATTTCTGTCGAATTAGAATACATATAGACTATATATATATATATATATATATATATATATATATATCCCACATAGCTCTACTGACATGGTTAAAATAGCATTACACAACCAATGTAGATATAGTTATATCTCCTGAGTGATACAGCATACATTTTCCTTGTCTTCAAATTTCAGATATTCTGTTCATAAATTTCTGACAATCCAGAACTATGAAAAATATCAGAAAATGAGGTTGGAAATATGACAAAATAAAAAGCAAAATGCAATTTGTGTGACAGAATAAAATATAAAATATGGGTGGCATTCCCTATCGCAGTTACACATCTGTAAGTGCTCCATATTCAGCAAGCCCTACATAGTAATGATCATGGCATTACTGTCATGATCATAAACTCCCCAACCTAGTCTTGGTCAGGAGAAGGATGTTGATTTCATTTCTAGAGCAGGAACAATGGCATAAGAAGGGCTTTTAAAAAAGAATAACGAAATATGCAGCGTTACCATATTCTTGGAGGAAAGGTAATATAATTTAGTCAGAAATCTGAAGGTTTCTACAACTTAGTTAACATATAATTCACATAAGAAGTTTGAGATTTTCATTTAATTTTATTCTGCAGTATTTAAGGAAGGAAGTAAAGGGCAGAGTGGTGTTATTAATATGAATGATGACTCAAAAAGAAAATTGCAAGAAGCTTCAAAGTGGACCCCTGAATCTCAGCTTCAGGATATAGAGAGTGAAATGATTCTTTGTTATGAAAAGCTTCCATTGTGCATGGAAATTGTCTAAAGAGTCGTGTCAATTTATGAATTGTCATCCAATTCATTTCACTCATCAGAGATTAGGAGTGCACAGAGGCTGAAAGTAACTAGTTAACAATAATCATTTTTTTCTAGTCACAAAAGTAAGAAAAGATGATAATTATGACTGTAACTTAATGAAAAACAGCCTTACCTATTTCTCAGTACAACACTAGCTCGTACTTTTCTAAATATTGAAGTGCAGCCCGTTTAAATGGAGCAAAGGACTGTTATTTGAGCAAAGTGTTGTGTTTTGCCTTGTGTCACTGTTGATGTAGAGGTGACAGGGTTATTAACAGGGTTATAAATAAAAGACTGGGGAGTTTGCTTATTATTGATGCCAGGAAATTACTTCATGACGTGGGGAATTTGAAGCTGAAACCATGTATGAATGCAAGTATAAGTGTGCATAGGCTCTCCACATGATTTACAACCTTGATGGCTCCACTGGTGCTGAAGGCTTTCATTTCAATGGGAAGGGACATCTCTTCTCACTTTTAGTCCAGGTAACAAACATTTTAAACATAGGGTTCAGCACTTTGGATAGCTCCTTTAAAGTTTAGATGGATTCACTCTCCACTGTCCTGGAAGCCGCCAAGCACCACTGGACAGTGCAGGTTTCAAAATCACATTGAGAACCTACATGTGTCATATGCAGATGTCACATGCCAATCTTTAACCCCCAATGTGTGGGTTGTGTAGGGTGCAATCTGGAACAAGACACAATGGGGAAAGGGTTCAGAAAATGCTAATCTGTTCCTCCCTGCATGTGAACATAATTACATGCAGGCTTAATAGAACTGCAGAAAGACTGGAAGTAACTAATTAGGATATGACATATTATTTATGTATTAGTACTTATACACACCTAAAGTGAACCCCAGAAGACCTTTTTTTAAAAAAAATCGAGTTAAACACAATGCACAGTAAAATGCATTTAGTAGCTAGCGTGGAATAATATTTGAGCATTGGACTAGATCTCTAGAGCCCAGGTTAAGATTGCCACTCAGTCACTAATACCCATTGTATGACTATTGGGCAAACCACACTCTCTTAGTTCAAAGGAAGGCAAAGGCAAACCTCCTTTGAACAAATCTTGCAAAAACAAACAAACAAACAAAAACATTGTGATAAACCCATAAGGCAGAAACGTTTGAAATAGCCAAACAATTAAAATAACAATATAATATGTGGATTTATATTCATTTTTTTCAACCTCTGCACATAAATTCAAAGGTTCCATGTGACACTAATGGATCGCTGAAGTATATGGAGGTACAGTTGTTCTCCCTACACCTGGGCCAGTCATATACAGAGTATAGGTTCATTACATCTCAAAATGAAAACTGACCTTTTGGCTTATGAAGTTCTGTGGTGACTACAAAATAAAATAAGAACATCTATTAAACATTGGATGGCATCCTAGGTTTCCTCTCTCCCCAAAATTCCTCGCTTTATACCTTAAAATGGAAGAAATTTTACACCTTAAAACAGAAACAATGTTACTGACCTTTTGGCATATGAACTTGGATGGCAGCTACACAATAAAATAAGAATACTTGTTAAGAATTGGATGGCATCACAGGTCCTCCCACAAATTGCTCTGCTTTGTGCCTCAAAATGTAAGATATTTTATCTTTTAAAACAGAAATAATGTTACTGACCTTTCGGCTTAGGAACTTCTATGGCCACTACAAAATAAAATGAGAACACCTATTAAACATTGGATGACAACATACGTCCCCCCAACATACGTCCCTGCTTTGTACATTAAAATATAATGTATTTTATACTTTAAAATGAAACAATGATATTGAACTTTTGATTTATGAACCCCTATAGTGGCTACAAAATAAATTAAGAATACTGATTAATCAAAGATGCCCTCCCTCAAACCCACTGCTTGGCCATGGAAAGCCACTGTGTGACCTGTGTGACCTTTGGTTAGTGAAATCTTCTCAGCCTCAAAGGAATGCAAAGACAGATCCCTGCTGAACCAATCTTTATTACTTCACACACACAATGTTGTAAAACATTTGAAATAGGAATGAAATAGAAACATGGATAACGATAATGGATAACGAGACTGGATTCTGATTTTAGTTATGATATCTGATGGATTTGTTATATTGATGTATTGATATATTGTTGTATTGATGTTTACTGTTAATTAACTTGTTATGTGATTGCTTTTAAATACCCAATAACCTTGTACTTTGTATACTGAAACTGTTGCTGTTAACCGCTCCGAGTCGCCTAAGGGCTGAGAGGAGCGGTATACAAATAAAGTAAATAAATAAATAAATAAATAAATGATGATGATAATAATAATATATTGTCGAAGGATTTCATGGCTGAAACCACTGTGTAGTTGTAGGTTGTTCCAGTTGTATGGCCATGTTCTAGAAGCATTCTCTCCTGATGTTTTGCCTGCATCTGTGGCAAGCATCCTCAGAGGTTGTGAGGTTTGTTGGAAACTGGAAAATTGATTTTATATATCTGTGTAGCCTGACATGGTAGTTGTTAGAATGGTCCAGTCTGCAGTGCCTGACTACTTCAACCAGAGAAGTCAGCGATGAACCAACCTGGACACAGCATATTATTTGAGAACATGGAAATGCTGGACCACTCTAAAAACTAGCCACTGAAATCCACAAGCATGTGGACAATTTCAACAGAAAGGAAGAAACCATGAAAATGAACAAAGTCTGGCTACCAAAGTCTGTCTGCCCCTCAAACACAAGGGAACTCCAACCAGGAAACGATCAGGAACACCTGGTCACCTCTCAACAAGGAAATTTCCCAGGCAGTAACAAGCCACACCTAAAAACTGTCAGACCATCAAGTGCTAATCAAGGTGGCCAATTAAAACATTCACACCTAGGTCCAACAGACAAGAGTCCTTTCTCCTACCCTGGACCTTCCAGGGTAGGAGAAATTTTCCTAGTTTCTAACAAACCTTACAACCTCTGAGTATGCTTGCCACAGATGCAGGTGAAACATCAGGAAAGAATGCTTCTAGAACATGGCCATACAACCCGAAAATAATAATAGTTACCCAATAATAATAATAGTTACCCGCCTCTTCAAACAGCTCTAGGCAGGGTATAACAAAGTCAAAACATATGAACATAAAATACAAAAAAAGTAGATAAAACACATAATTATAAAAAGATACATCAGACACAGGGTACAAAATTAGCAGTACTAGAACGTAAATCCAAAATTCATGATTCAGAGTTGACTGTGCCAGAAGAGATAGATCTTTAATTTTGTTTTAAATTCTGACACTTCCTTTAGCTGTCAGACCTCTTCCACCAGATCATTCCACAGTCTTGGTTTGGCCGATGAAAAGTTCCTCTGGGTGATGTTTGCCACTTGGGATCTGGCTGGCTGGAGTAAGTTTTCCCCAGAGGACATTGGTACAAATTGCAATATAAAATATGATCTGCTATTCTTCCCCCACCCCCAATCCTTGCACATAGATAATGGTTTAAGATTCCATGCAGCAGTACCTGGATTTTAAAAGCACATGGAGGCATCCACACATTTGGGCCAGTCTTATAAACAGTATAGGTTCATTATAGATTAAAAAGTAAAAAGATTTACTGACCTTTTGGCTTGTGAACTTCTGCAGTGACTACAAAATAAAATAAGAATACTTATTAAACATATCTGATGGCAACACAGGTACCTGCCCCCAAGTTTCTCCGATTTATAATTTAAAATGGAATATTTTTAATGCCTTAAAATGGAAGATATATTGAACATTTACATAGAAATATATTATACCTTAAAATGGAAATTATACTACTGACCTTTTGGCTTATGGACTTCTACAGTGGCTACAACATAAAATAAGAATGCTTATTAAACATGGATACTTGCTCCCAAACTTCCCCACTTTATAACTTAAAATGGAAGATATTTTATACCTTAAAATAGAAATAATGTTACCGACCTTTCGGCTTAGAAACATCTGTGTAAGCTACAAAATAAAATAATGCTATCTGTTAAACATTAGATAGCAGCATAGGTCCCCCACACAAATCTCTCTGCTTTGAGGTTTAAAATAGAAGATATTTTATCCCTTAAATAGAAACAATGCTACTGACCTTTTGGCTTAGGGGCTTCTATGGTGACTACAAAATGAAATAATAATATGTATTAAACATTGGATAGCAACATAGGTACCCCCTCCCTCAATTTCTCTGCTTTATATCTTAAAATGGAAAAAATTAATATCTTAAGATAGAAAAAAACCCACTATTGACCTTTTGGCTTATGAACTTCTATGGCAGCTACAAAATAAAATTAGAATAGTTATTAAACATATGTAATGGCAACATAGGTCCCCCCCCCCACCTTTATATTTTCTCACTTTATACCTTAAAATGGAAACAATGTTACCAGGCATGTAGCCGGGGGGGGGGGCTTGGGGGGCTTCAGCCCCCCCCCCCGAAATTCTCATGGTGGTCCGCGAGAAGTCCTTATTGGTGCATTATTTAAACTGTTATGTTTATTCATATCATGGGGGTATTGGGGTAACGATACAAAAGGTTTGCTAGGGTAGACCCTCTTTTGCTCAGACTCAGCCCCCCCCGAATCAAACTTAGCCCCCCCCCCCGCAAATCAAAATCCTGGCTACGGGCCTGAATGTTACTGACCTTTTGGCTTAGGAACTTTTATGGCCGCTACAAAATAAAATGTGAATGCCTATTAAACATTGCATGGCAACACAGATCCTCCTCTCAAAATTACCCCGTTTTATGCCTCAAAATGAAAGATATTTCATTCTTTACAATGGAAACTGACCTTTTGGCTTATGGACCTCTATGGCAGCTACAAAATCAAATTAGAATACATGTTAAACATTGGTGGTCTCCCCCTGTTATCAAGAAATTGTCCCTCTCCCCACCAAAAAAATAACTTAAGTCATAGATCGTAGAAACACATATTAGCTGGCCTTCCAGAAACCCAATCCAACCAAACCCAGGCACACCAGAGAGAATTGACGAGGTATTCATTGAAGTCAGAATGTAATGGGGGGAAGTAGAAGGGAGATTGAGGTTTACCGAAACCTAACACAATAGATCGATCTCAAACCACCCTGGCAAAAGTAATTTTGCTCAAGTTGTATCTATGGTTATGAACTAGTTGTGGCTCAGGCATATGTATATATAGTGTTTTTATATTAAAAGGGACTAAAATGTGCTGAAATTGACATCTAGGAAATCTTAAAAATATAATTGTATGTTGGTGCTTGTGAAACTGCTTTTGTGTTTTGCTAAGAGGTGAACACAACCAGGTAAACATAGCAAGCAGGAAAGATCTTACTTAGAAACAAAGGATCTTCCATCTCATGAGGAGATCCAGGTGGTGGGGAAAGCTAGACACAAACAATGCCTTGATGAAATCTATCTTGTTCTGTATGCTTCCCATTCAGTTGTCTGTATTTATATAAGCCTCTTTATTGTGTCTGAGGCTAGCTCCTTTTGTGGACTCATATAATCACATCCTGGATTATTCACATATTGCCTCAGATCTGCTCAGTCTCGCCCTTTTCCTCTTGGGAGGACCTTCCAAATGGCCTCAGCTTCAAAATGACAATTGACAGCTCTTCACTTTTTCTGACCATGAGGGAAACTCCATCCACCTCTGACATCACAGGCAGTCCCCAGCCAACAAAAGCCCAGATCCTGGCTTGACCATTTTTGAACCAATCAGGGGAGGGAGTGGGTCTTTTGAATGGTTTTCAAATGGAACAAAATGTCTTGAACTGTATTGCATGGTTATGTTTTATTCCTTTTGAGTAGAGACATCCTTTCAGTCCAGTTGCCTTCAAACCAGACTGTATGTTGATCTGGTTTAAAAAGTAGCAAGCACTCTGGTCAATTAATCCACACCACTCTTTAAGTGGTTAGATGAATGTTGGCATCACCCCACAAATCACTCTGCTTTGTGCCTCAAAATGGAAAATATTTTATACCTTAAACTGGAAATAATGTCACTGACCTTTTGGCTTAGGAACTTCTATGGCAGCTACAAAATAAAATGAGAATACCTATTAAACATTGGATGGCTTCGCTACTAGGCTCGCATAAAAAAATCATAAAATGTTGGAAGTTGGATCATTTTTGCATGAATTGTACTTAGGATGCTATTTACATAGCATGGGAATCCTCCCTCCTAAAACTTAAGAATCAAGCTTAACCCATACTTTTTCATTTTAGTTTTGGAAATGTCTGAAGGCTCTGAAAGTCAGTTTCATATTCAGTGTAAGGTAAAGCCAAAAAAAGAAGCTGCCTTTCCTCTGTAAATTAATGGCCTCTCACCATTAGAAGAGGGAAAGGAGGGAGAAAGCAGAGTTCCTTGGGAATTCTCTGGTATGGGGCTCTTTGCCTTCCCAAACTACATTTCCCCTCTGCTTGGGAAATGTAGATTGGGAAGGCAAAGAGCCCCATACCAGAGAATTCAAAAGCCCCTACCCTAAACTACATTTGCCAGAATGCCATGCTCAGTACCAGAAAGCCACAATCAGAATAGGGGGAGAGAGATTTGGTCCTCTGTAGGCAGCCAGTGTTCCAATAAATTGATTAATATGCTACACTATGATTCTAGTTCATGGGTTATAAATGTCATTTCCTAATTGGTTCTATCATAAAAACATGGGGAAAGTTTAATAAACTGCAAAAACATCTTTGTGGGAGGAACATTGTGACATAGCACATTTTGCTCTAGTATTTTGTTGAGTCTCCACCAATTTTACATAGGTTTTGGCACAAAAACGAAGATTCTCTTGTAAACAACTATTTTCAAAGCAAGGACAACACAATTAAACAGGAAATAACACTTTCAAACTAGGAATATATTTTCATCATCATCATCATCATCATCATCATCCAGAGGCTGGATGACTGTTGCAGCCCAGCCACCTATGTGACTTCTTTTCACCAAAGATGAAGAGCTAATTAGCCCAAATATGGCTCAGCCAACAACTATCAATCAACTAATTAAAACAGTAGTTCTCAACCTTTGAGTCCCCAGACGTTTTGGCCTACAACTCCTAGAAATCCCAACCAGTTTACCAGCTGTTTCATTTTAAAAAAACAAAGTACAACCAAATACTAAATTTCTTCCTAATCTTCAGTTTGGATTGCTACAAAAATAAAACAGCTTGTATGACCAATTGCACACCAAGTACTAAATACAATTTCTGCTATCTTTTCATTTCTGGGAGTTGAAGGCCAAAACATCTAGGGACTCACAGGCTAAGAACCACTGAATTAAAGAGTGTTCTATAAAGAAAACTAGTTCAAAAATACATTCCGAGGTAAAGAGTACAAAAGTATTTTCAAGGTATACATAAAAGGCAAAAGCAAATGTACATCCAAAGTGTAAGCTTCAAAGGTCATTCCAAAATCTAGGTTATAGTTGGAGTATTCTCGATGCCACAATAAAAAGTCCTGCACTGACAGTAAAGCCAAAATCTACAAAACTCAGACCAAGAACTATATCCAAACGAGTTTTCGCAATCCCAAACAGGAAAACATGACATGAAGGAAAGGTGAGAATCTCTGAACACAAGGAAAAGCTGACTTTCTTCAGAAAATACAAAGTTGCTGTCACACAGAGCAATCCAAGGGGTTAGCTTAAGAAACCAAATTGGTTCCCGTGGAGTCACTATCTAACTAAGACCTGGAATCCCTTTGTTTATCTCTCAAATGCCGAGAAAACCTTATTTGCCTCTGCTTGGCATTATTTCACCATACCTGAAGATGCTGAGTTATGGGCAACAATACAGTGTCTTCCCCCTCCCTCACATCTTTTCCAGGGTCAGAGAGAGCCTCCGGAAGTGCAACCTCTGGCAGCATTTCATGTAAAACATTCTCACTAAAAGCAGATCTGTCTGTAAAACCATTCCCAGGAACTACAGAAGTGGTGGGCTCCAATTCAGGAGCACAAGGCCCCACCAAAGGGACTCCCTCCTCCTGCTCAGATTAGGTCTCATCAATGGCTATCTGTCAGGGGTGCTTTGTTTGTGCCTTTTCTGCATGGCAGAAAGAAGGGGTTGGACTGGATGGCCTTTGGATTCCCTTCCAGCTCTATGATTTGATCATGCACCTATCATATAATATTATATAATACTATGAGAGACATTCAATGAAATAGCTTTTGGTGGCTTTAAAAATGTTTTTGTCAAAACTTCTTTAAAAATCCCTAAAATCAATAGATATATGAATATTTCTGAAATTTGGGGGAATTATCCCCTGTAATGAGGTGTCATTGTGTAGAAAATTCAAGGAGATAGCTTATAAAATGTTGTTTATAAAAAAAATGAAAATTCCCCAAAAAGCCATAGATGGGTGAAACATTCTGAAATTTGGTGGGCTAAGAAGAGGAAATGCGTTCTATCATTGTAGCAAGTTTCACCCCAATAGCCCTAAAAATGAGGGAGAAAGAAGCCCCTCAAGTTTCCTCAATTTATTTTATTTATTTATTTGTTTGTTTATTTACTTTACTTTACTTATATACCGCTGTTCTCAGCCCGAAGGTGACTCACAGCGGTTCACAACCAATAGGAACAGCAAAAATTCAATGCAACAGTGTAAAAACAGTTAACAACTTAACACATTACACAATTAATAAACAATTACTACAATAACCAATCCCTATCGTCTCATCATCAACACATAATCCAGATTCGTCATCCATTGTTCCATTCCTATGTTCATTACCAATCATTGCACTAGTGATTCGAACACCTGCACAAACTGCCAGGTCTTCACTTTTTTGCAGAATACCATTAATGATGGTGCTAATCTAATGTCCGTGGGGAGGGCGTTCCACAGCTGGGGAGCCACCACCGAGAAGGCCCTATCTCTTGTCCCCGCCAGCCGTGCTTGAGAAGCCGGCGGGATCGAGAGCAGGGTCTCCCCAGAAGATCTCAAAGTCCTGGTGGGTTCATAGGCAGAGATGCGGTTGGCTAGGTAGTTTGGGCCGGAACCGTTTTAGGCTTTATAGGTCAATGCCAGTACCTTGAATTGAGCCCAGTAGCAGATTGGCAGCCAGTGGAGCTGGCGCAACAGGGGGGTTGTATGCTCCCTGCGTTCCGCTCCTGTTAGAATCATGGCTGCCGCACGTTGGACTAATTGAAGCTTCCGGGCCGTCTTCAAGGGCAACCCCACGTAGAGAGCGTTGCAGTAGTCTAGACGGGATGTAACCAGAGCGTGGACTACCGTGGCCAAGTCAGACTTCCCAAGGTACAGGCGCAGCTGGCGCACAAGCTTTAGCTGTGCAAATGCTCCCTGGTCACCACCGAAACCTGGGGTTCCAGGCTCAGCGATGAGTCCAGGGTCACACCCAAGCTGCGAACCTGCGTCTTCAGGGGGAGTGCGACCCCATCCAACACAGGCTGTAACCCTATGCCCTGTTCAGCCTTGCGACTGACCAGGAGTACCTCTGTCTTGTCTGGATTCAATTTCAATTTGTTCGCCCTCATCCAGACCGTTACAGCGGCCAAGCACCGGTTCAGGACCTCGACAGCCTCCTTAGTAGCAGGTGGGAAGGAGTGACAGAGTTGGACATCATCTGCGTACAGATGACACCGTACCCCGAAACTCCGGATGATCTCTCCCAGCGGCTTCATGTAGATGTTAAACAACATGGGAGACAATATTGAGCCCTGAGGAACCCCACAAGACAATGGTTGTGGGGTTGAACAGGTGTCTCCCAATAACACCTTCTGGGATCGGCTCTCTAGTAAAGACCGGAGCCACTGTAAAACAGTACCTCCAAGTCCCATCCCCGCAAAGCATTCCAGAAGGATACCGCGGTTGACGGTATCGAAGGCCGCTGAGAGGTCCAGCAGCACCAACAGGGACACACTCCCCCTGTCGAGCTCCCAGCGCAGATCATCCACTAAGGTGATCAAGACTGTCTCAGTTCCATGTCCCGGTCTGAAACCAGACTGAGCCGAATCCAGATAATCTGTGTCTACCAAGAATACCTGGAGTTGTGAGGCCACCACACGTTCCAGGACTTTGCCCAAAAAGGGGAGATTGGAAACTGGCTGAAAGTTGTCGAATTTAGTGGGGTCCAGTGATGGTTTTTTCAACAGCGGTTTTATTATAGCTTGTTTTAAGCTTGCTGGAATCTTGCCTTCCCGAAGGGAGGCATTAACCACCACCTCAACCCACTCAGCCAATCCCCCTCTGGCCTCCTTTAGAAGCCAGGATGGGCAGGGGTCTAGGATGCATGTGGTAGGCCTCATTCCTCCAAGTATCTTGTCCACATCCTCGGGTTTCACCAATTGAAAAGAATCCATCAAAATAGAACAAGCAGGTGCTCGTGTTACATCCTCAGAGACTGCTCAGACCAGAGCGGATCAAAGCGACTTTGTCTGCAAAAAACTGAGCAAAAGCTTCACAGCGAGAGGTCGAATTGTCAGGGTTCCCACCTTGAGTGGGAACCCTGCTCAATTACTATATGCGCAATTACTATAACAAAATTTGTTATTATCTTTACAGCAACAAATATTTCACTAACAATACTTTAGAAACACTTTAGAAACAAAACGCAAGCACCCCCCAATTTTTGTAATTACATTTGAAACATTTTTTTATGGATCACACATGCTTATTAGCTACATAGGCCCATTTTTCCATCCCCCATATTCCTCTCTTATGCCTTAAAATGTAAGATATTTTATACCTTAAAATGGAAACAAAGTTACTGACCTTTTGGCTTATGGACCTCTATGGGAACTATAAAAATAAAATTAGAATAGTTGTTAAACATTGGGTGGCAACATAGGTCCTCCACAAATGGCCCTGCTTTGTGCCTCAGAATAGAAGATATTTATACCTTAAATTGGAAATAATGTTACTGACCTTTTGGCTTAGGAACTTCTATGGCAGCTACAAAATAAAATGAGAATACCTATTAAACATTGGATAGCTACATAGGTCCCGTCCCCCAAATTTTTATGCATTATGCCTTCAATGCAAGATATTCTATACATTAAAATGGAAATAATGTCACTGACCTTTTGGCTTAGGAACTTCTATGGCCGCTACAAAATAAAATGAGAATGTCTATTAAATTTTGCATGGCAAATAAGGGTCCCCCCCCCCAAGCAAAATTGCTCTGCCTAATGCCTCAAAATGAAAGAAATTTTATACCTAAAATGGACATTATGTTACTGACCTTTTGGCTTATGGACCTCTATGGCTGCTAAAAAATAAAATGGGAATACCTGTTAAATATTAGATGGCAACATACATTCTGCCCACTTCTTAAACATGTGTGCAGTACAGTAATATGAAAAACTTAGTAAAATCTTTAAAACATCACTAATTCAGAACAGAGACCAGATATATAAAAGCAACATCAATTGTTTAACAAGCAATATTTTCACATTCCATTTTTTGAAAAGCTGGGTGAGAACCCAATGGAGGCAGAGAGCATTTTCTAAAGCATTTTCCTTGTGACTATCTATCTCTTTTCAGAAGAAGCAGGCACATTAAGATGTCTAGGAGGTGGACCTTCAAACCATTCCAACCTTCCAAGGTTTGAACTCTGCTTACAGACAAACTGATAGCCAGTGTAGCTCCTTTAGTAATGACACAAGGTGCTCCCCATCTAATATCCTAGCTGCTCTATGTAGCCTTTAAAAGCAGTCCCCAAAAAAGGCCTTGGCCATAACCCACAACCAGTATTAGCAGGCAACAATTAACCCTGGCTTTTTATCTATTTCCCAGAATTGTTGCTACTAACCCTTCCAAAAGGCCACAGCATATCCATTTACCACTGGTAGGGAGGGCCTTCCATGCCAAAGGTGTGAAGAATCCATTCTGGGTTACTTTTTAGACTTTGAAGGGTTATCCAATGCACTGAACCTATTTAAGAGATAGAGTCCAACTCCTTGGATAGCTCTTTAGAATCCAAAACAAAATCCACTGCACATTTAACATGGAAGCCACAGACCATCAGTAGTGGAGAGGCGAGTGTAGCAAAACAGAGAGGACAACAAAGGATGCAAAGAACCAAACATGTGAGCTCTTGAAAATATTTAAAGATCATGGGCTAAAGTTCTATTTATTTTAAGGAGAAGGAGAAAGCTCATCAGTGGAGGATTTACAGCATAATGTATGCCTACTCACAAATAAGTCGCAACATGTTCAGTATGGCTGACTTTTAGGAAAGTATGAATAAGATTGCAGTGTTAAAAGGGAGTACTGGTAGTGTGGCCAAGAACATCAATCTATCAATTGATTGATACACTGTTCACGTATTCATCAAAAGTAGAAAGCACATTGCAACTAAGAATAAAATATAGATTCGAAACAACCTATTTATTAAAATATAACATAAAAACAGGAAAAAATCTGTTTTGTTTGCTGTAGGTAGGACAATAAAGAAGTGCCCAGTCTGGTTGTCAAGGGTAAAGATTTCCACACAGAAGGTCCTCAATTTAGTCCCTTGTCTGACCATTAGCAATGACGGTGGGACCACATAAGGTTTCTAAAATCCAAGCAGGTTCATAAGGAGGCACAGAACCTGTCAAGTATGACCTGATCAGACAGGCTGATTTATGCTCGCTCCCTGTGGAATGGGGGTCCAGATAATGTGGGTGATGCAAGGTGTAAAGTGACAAATTCTCCACTCCCCCTAATGGGACCCCCATGGATTCACCACAATGCATGGCAAATCCTTAGGTTAATGTGATAAGGTTCTTAGATTCATCCCAAACTGGATTAGATTTCAAAACACCACTTTGAATGATGCCCTGAAACAGACCAGTAGCCATGCAGTTGCTGTATCAAGGGAATAGCATGTTCCTTGCTCAGTGGTCAACATTCTGCATTCTAAACCCGTTGAAGCTTCTAAAACTTATTAAAGGTAACCTGCATCAAACACATTACAGTAAAGTTACACTAGACCAAACAGATGGACTGATTACCTCACCTATAAGCCAGTTTTATATCAAGAGGTGCTGTCAGTTTATTTTAAAAATTGAAACATTAAATTTTTGCTGACCCTTTGGCTTATGAATTTCTTGTGTTACTGAAAAATAAAAAGAGATTTTATAAAAATCTGAATGGTTTACATTGTATTTACACATTATCCTCAAAGTAATGGATCTCTAGTGAAATTGCAAACTTTTTCTCTGCTGTGTGTCTTAGAGGTATACAAATCTAACGGGTCAATGTGGACAAAATATTAGCTGAACAGGAGCAAACAAAATGGAACAGCCCTATTCCTGTTCCTATCAGCCAATATGGGGGGAAAGAATGTGCAGTAGGAGGGAAATCCATACTGAAAAGGGGGAGCCAAATATCCTGCTAGAATTCCTATATTTGAATATTTGGGGAGTGATATAACCGGATAATCCATTAGTGATAATAACCCAGGGGCAATATGTGTATCATTTGGATAACTCTAAAGTAAACGATAAAGTCCCCGGAACAAACACTAACCAGAAGTAATTACAATCATCCTTTCACATTCACTGGCATTAGCCCCCCACTTGAAAGTGGAAAAATTGCAAATGAAAAAAATGTGCTCTTTTCTAACGTAAGAGGGCACCTCTTTAGGATTCTCTCGATTATCTAGTGTGACTCTATAATCAATTTAAATAATAATAATAATAATAATAATAATAATAATAATAATAATAATAATAATATATTTGGGTAAACCTGTTCTGGAAGTGTTCTGTATAAGAATCTCTAGGTCATTCAGTGTGACTCTATAGTCAACTTCCACTGGAGAGATGCCTAGAAAGAATATATAATGAAATTGTGAATAATCAATTTCACAAAAAATACCCATCTGCATTTTCTGGGAAAACAACAAGTTTACGTCGTATATAGGCAAGATGTTGAGCTTTCTTCCTTCACATGCCATATAAAGAGCTACAACAGAAAATTGATTCTACATACTGGCCATTGTTTTACAGGGTGGTTGGGGATAGACATGTGAAGATTGGTTTCACCTTTCTTGTCCTTTCTACAGCAAACCAAAACTGATGTGTTTTTATGCCTTGATAGTGTAGGCTTTCTGATCATGAAAGTGTAGTAAACAAATTCAGCCAAATATTACAGAATACTTTGCAGATCTTTGTGTTGAACATGCAACTTATACATGACATACATACCAGGACATTGGCAGTGGGGCTTCCATGAACTCCAGTGAATGCCTGTGGAGAGCCACAATTAACACATTTTAGAAAACAGGTACATTAATGTGGAGGAAAAGCATACTTACATACAATATTACCAATTATGTGAAAAGTGAATTGATTGAGCAGAGATGTCCCAGAGAAATTGGTCACCATTTATCTAATATTGGAATCATGATTGAATGGACATATTAGCTTCAATGCCGTAGGAATTTAAACAATTAATTAAATCCAGCACGAGTATGAGGAAAATTAACATAGTTTTGCCATATTTGGGCTACCGAAAAATGGCGGCAGTATCAGTTTTGATAAACACCATATGCTTGTTTACTAAATTTACATTGTTTTTAACAGGTTTTATAAAATAGTTTCACAGGAAACCCACAATGGAAAGAATATGCTGTGAGTTATGTCTAATCAGGTTTCTCATTTTTATTCACTGATTAGTTACTTGCAGTATGGTATACTCATTTCCATAGCAACAAGTTAATTTACGCTTGGAGCTAAAATGGGAAAGTTAGGCTTCCCTAAATAATTTTTATCCATGCCTTACCGGGTGCTTTTACATGCATGTCCTTTTTTGGTAGCTCTGCTGCAAAACACACATAAAAGGATAAAAGGCTGGTTATTACAAATCTTGAACAGCTATTATACTACATCAGCATGTTTTAGAGAAAGAAAATATTAGAAAACAGCAGGATATTTACCACTTTCTACTGGCTTTTCTTTTTTGTGTAGTTCTACAAAGTAAGAGAAGAGACAGAAAATTATTGTTGTGCTTTGAGGTTTATCACTTGCAAGAACAAAAACAGCAACACTTAAACAACATCTATTATACAAGAATTATAAGTTTCATATTCTATCAAGTTTCAACAACTGGAGTTCTGGATTCTATCCAAGAATCAATTACGTATTTTTGGATAATGTAACATATTCCAGGCAGGTGTCACTTTTTGCCATGTGATATTGTGATACCATATATGGCTTCATTCATATATTTTGCCAGTTTAATTGGAATTACTCCCAGAGCATGTACCACAATGGAACCGACAGCCGTTGATGTTATTACCACCTTCCATTCCCTCCCTATCCCCAAACTGGGACATAGTGGATTACAAAAATTAAAACAAATGTATATAGGATGTGTAAAAACACATAAGTAAAATCATACAAAAATAATTAATATCTCATTAATATTTTAAGATTATGAGACAATGAGATAGTGGATGAACACTGTAAAATTCTTAGCTGCACCAGTTTCACAGTGACTTGACTAACATCACTTGGGGCTCATCTACACCTACACTTTTGTGTGTGTCAGGAGCAACTTGAGAAACTGCAAGTTTCTGGTGTGAGAGAATTGGCTGTCTGCAAGAACGTTGCCCAGGGGATGCCTGGATGTTTATTCCCAGATGGAAGGCTTTTCTACCATCCAGTGGGAGGCTTCTCTCATGGGAAGCTGGAGCTGACAGACGGGAGCTCATCCTGCTCCCCAGATTCGAACCACCAAACTTTTGGTCAGCAGTCCTGTCAGTACAAGGGTTGAACTCATTGCGCCACTGGGGGCTCCTTACATCTACACTAAAATTCAGGAAAGAAAAAAGGAGGAAGTAATACAAGTATGAGGGGTATTTTTTAAGTAAAGTCCGTTTTGTTGTAGACACTAGTAGTTCGCGCGCATACCGCAACAAGCACGTGCGTCGTGTACTGGCATGCCTTGGGAACAACTGTGCTCAGTTTCCACTCTGTAGCTAACCTGTACGGTTTTGTTCTGTGCTTTAAAAATGTTTAAGACTATCAACTCACCCTCTGCAAGTGAGGTTCGCTCAGTGATACGGTTTTTGTCAGCAAGGAACCTGCCTGTTGCAGAAATTCATCGACAGATTTGTGAAGTGTACGGTGATACTGTTATGAGTGAAAGCAAAGTGCGTAAGTGGGTACGACAATTCAAAGATGGCCGTGACAACGTCCATGATGAGGACCGCTCCGGTTGCCTTTCTTTGATTACAGATGATTTGGTGGCTTTTGGTGGCGGCAAGTTTTTATGAAGAGGGTATTTTAAAATTCATTCAGAGGTATGATAAGTGTTTGAACAAACTTGGCAACTATGTTGAAAAATAGAGTGAAGTATGTACTTTCTGAAAATAAATTTACTTTTTGGAAATAAACTTTCGTTGTGTACTTATGTTCAAACAGACCTTACTTAAAAAATACCCCTTGTAACATACATAACTTACAGTCATTTTGCTAGTTTTCAAGTATATCTAAAAGGTGCTGCCATATTTCTTCCTTTTCTCCCTCCTCTTTAACCCAAAACACTAAACAGAAAGCATGTTTTGCTGCTACAGAACAATGCAATTGAACACCTGAAAGGAAAGATGGAACATAGCCACATTGCTCCTCCACAGCTGTAATATTATGATAGTCTAAAAGCTGGAATCAGACCCATTACTGAACTCAACTCAATACTCTCTCCTTCACTTCTCTCACCCATTTGGGCTGCTTGCCACACAAATAACAACATTTTTGGTTCAAGATTGTCTGTCTTTCCTTAACTAAACCTTCTAGGGCTTTAGTTGAATTAAAGTTTTGTCTCGGTTAACTTTGGGAGCCATTTCACCTTGGGAAGCATTAAAATGGTCCAAAGAAATTGTCTGCCTGTCTCTGTCTGTCTGCTTACCTACCTACCTATTTATTTCACTTGCATGCCTCCTTTCCCTCATGGTGGGATTTAAGGCAGCTGATACAAAGGATCAATTAAACATGTAAGAATAAAAATACAAAAACAAAGTAAAACCATTAAGAATACAGACAAAAGTTAAAAATCAAAACAAAATACACACACCAATAAGAGTCACCCCTACTCACACATTAAAAACCCACTGTAAACTTTAGATAATATTAAATAAGTGTCTATAACATGATATTTGTGAAGCTAAGCATTCTTAAAATATGTGATGTCATAAAAATACTGTAAAAAATACTATCAATATTTGAAGCAGATATTCTTTCGTGTTTATGTAAATCCTTTTTCATTGTTTCCTGAGATGTGCCGCATATTTCTTCTACACAGCTAGCTTGCTCCACCTGCCTGATGCAAGCAGAAGTTTCACTTCCCAAAAACCTCTTTTGAGCTTACTCAAAATTATGATTATAGGTGCTCCTGTTTCTGCACACTATTTCTATAGTTGGTCATATACTGCTAGTAAATAATAATATAAGAATGGCATTTTGAAATAGATTTGAAATTGAGTTTGAGATAACCACTCACAAAACACTTACACTTGGGCCCACTCCTTAAATAATTTGGAGGAGGGGGCTACAATATATTACTGAATGCGTTGAAGATATTTGGCAACACCATCCAGGTACTGGACAGGATCTGTAATTAACTTCTTTCCATGGACCCCAAACAGAATATTTTTTTCCCTTTTCTTTTACTTTCTTGGAATCAGCTCTATTGGTAGAAGTACACATCTTATAGGATCTCTTTTTCACCTTGACTAGGACTGTGAATATGTATACCTGCATCAAGGACCATTAGAAATTATTCCCAGAGTCCCAGGACACTGCCATAGTAGTTGTTTAATATGTAAATAGTGAGTGTTTCTGGAAACTCTGATTTTCCTCCTTGAAATCCTCAAAGCAATTTAAACAGGACATTTTGAATACTGTTGTCATTATTTCTCCTGCATTCACGGGGAACAGTCTTATTCCTTCTTCATTTATAGCCCCTTACATGTTCCTTATTATCTTGAAAGTTACATGAGTCGTGGATTTAAGCCTGCAGTCCTATAACCATTTACACAGGATAAAGACCCATTGATCTTGGTGGAACTTATTTTTGAGCAGACAACACTGATTCCCCACCCCCAATCAAAACGTATTTTTCTATCCTTGGGATTAAATTAAACCAGATAAATCCAAATTTCTGTTTTCTTAAACGATTTGCTGAATCTTTCTAGAGTTTGTCTTAATGTTAATTCTTTCAATTTTCATAATTTTCAACACTAAATATATTACTTAATAGCTGTCATACTGGAGACAAAAGCTCAGTTTTAAAAAAGAAGAAAACTTCATCCAAACAAATCATATATACGAAAGCATTAAAGTTCCACAAGGCTTCAGTAGTTCTTACTTAGTATTGATTTATTGACAAAATGTCAAAATAGAGACTTTTCCTCTCATAACTACTACAGGCTTAGCTGCTTCCAGTATCATAAAAACTTTTTAAAAAAGTAAAATTATATTTCATGAAAATGTTGTTTGTATCTTATGGGAAATTGTAATCACTTTAAAATGGAGATAAAATTTTGCTGTTGGATCATTTCATTGAGGTGAGATGTGCTACTATAATTCCGTGAACATGTGTTGAAGGAAAAAATCAGTTCAGAATGAGAATCCTTTTTTCCTAAAGCAAGAATTTTCAATTTTTAGGCTATAAATAAAAAAAATGGATGAAAAGCCCTTATAGTTGAAGTTGTGTGCAGTAGTTTTACATGCTGATCTTGGAAAAAGGAAAAAGAATACAGTGTAAGCAATGCCCCCAAAGGAATTAAGTATTCCTACACATTACAGAGCCACATGGGTGAAGGGCAGATCTACACTGACCACTTATCTCAGGGCCAATCTGGAGCGGTGCATGTCAGACCGACCCTAAGACAATTTAGACCACCACCACCTCCCAGCTGCTGCAGAAGCGAGGAGGAGTCTGGACTGGCAAGCAGCACCAAATCCAGTCTTGGCACCAGCCCAGTGGTTTACATGAGGCCAACAATGCAGTTTGCTCTGGATTGTCAGAATTTAGAGCAACTCACAACCTTGGTTAACAATTCACGGACTCATTAAGATGGCCCTGACCTGTGTCAACTCAAACCAGCTCTGTGAATCGTTTAGCTGTCATAGAGCTGAGTTGCCTATCCTTTACACTAAGTGGTCAATTCATATGTGTGCTAGGACTCTGTAGACCAGAGTTTGATTCCCTTGGACAAGTAACACTCTCTCAGCTCTAGAAAATCCCAAGATATAGTCACCCAAAGGTCACCATAAGTCACAAATGACTTGAAGGCACACAACCACAAAAGTGTTATGAGGGAGGGGAAGGGAAGTGCACGGTGTTAACCATGTTTGATCTTTTTTTTTAATGGGATATACTCTCTACTCCCAGTCCCTGCTGAATTATGGGCTTACTTTTCTTGCCTCAAGGTTCATCTACCCTGTAAAAATAATGCAGTTTGACACCAGTTGGGCTCCTATGACTCAATGCTATGGATGAATCATGGAAGTTGTAGTTTGGTAAGTCACTAGCACACTTTGCCAGAGAAGGGTAAACACCTTGTCAAACAACAACGCTCGTGATTCCCTTGTGAGGAGCCATGATAGTTAAAGTGGTGTCAATCTGCATTACTTCTACAGTGTAGATACAGCCTTAGACGGTCGCTATGATCCATGGCAGGAACATTTGCCATTTATTGTTTGTTAGGGCAGCCATTTATTATCAACAATAAAATATATGTATTGTCGAAGGCTTTCATGGCTGGAATCACTAGGTTCTTGTGGGTTTTTTCGGGCTATAGAGCCATGTTCTAGAGGCATTTCTCCTGACGTTTCGCCTGCATCTATGGCAAGCATCCTCAGAGGTGTGAGGTCTGTTGGAAGTAGGAAAAATGGGTTTATATATCTGTGTTAATAAAATAAAATATATGTATTTTCTGCATTGTAACCAGGAGATGGTGCTATGGTGCAATGAGATCAAAAAAGATGAAGACGGGCAAAAAAGTGGGAGATGATTAAATGAGAGTGAAAGAAAGAAAGGAAAAATATAATCCTTTACCTGGTGCAGCTATTTTTGCAGAAGCTGGTTGGGCTGCAGGAGCTTTTGCTGGCTCTTAAAATGAGAACAAATTAAAGCAATAACTACAAGGCATTCTATAACAACAACAGAGAAATCCAGGGAAACTGCAGATGAAAAATATTGCCCTTAGCATCTCTCTTACAGAGAGAAAGGAGATTATTAAAAACCAAATTTCCTATTGGTTTTCTACTCAATCAAAGGCTCTGAAAAACAAATTAATGAGGAAAAATGGTTATTTAGGATCACTTGATAATTACTATCATTAACAAATGTGGTTTCTTGTATCACTCATTGTGACATATTACTAGTAATTTCCTTAGCCACATGTGATAATTGCCAAAGAGTATGGTAGAAATCATCCAGGGAAGGTGGGTCCCCACACACACACACTCTGAAGAAAAACACATTTTTTTGTATTTCATTTCTCAGCCTCAGTTTTCTTCACTCAAAGGCTTTTTAGATGTTATTTCCAGAGTTTCTAGCACAGACAACTGAAGCCACAAACTGAACTTTTACATTTTGCATGCACGTACTAATAATGGAAAATCTGGATTTGCATTTAGAGCATCCTTGCAAGGCTGAAGCTAGATGCATCATTGAATGGAAATGGAAATCTGTGCCATTGGTATTGCACATGATTAAAGTCAGATCAGAGCCCCTTTTCTATACTTGCATAGCTTGAAAAGAAAATGCTGAGCTGACCCATGGTAGCCCTCTTCCCTATCCTAAAAGAGACAGACGCTAGTCAATGTGTGTAGAGATAAGAACAAAATTGGTATAGAAACAAAAAACATTTGGGTGGATTTTCTAGCCCCGAGGAAAGTAGCCTTTCTGCATCCCTCAATTCCTACTGCAAGAAGAAGTACACTTTACTTTAAGAACTGGCATATTAGTGAGGCATTCAGAAAAATACAATGTAGACAAAACTTTGCACATATTTTAAAACCCATATGGCTGAAATACAAATATGCGCAGGCATTCTTAAATACTCATAAAAATGCAGTGTATGCAATGTTTGGGAGAAAAACAGTCTCACAATTTGATACAAAACTAGGACAGGAGTAAATGCAGGTGAGATTGGGAGAAGCATAATGATTTTTAGACCTGAAATTCATATCTCTACTTGGAAGACGCTTCTAACAAATAACAACTTTATCTGTAACTTGCTACTTTCAGGGAGTAACAATGTTTTCAACACAATATGTTTCTGAAATAGCGATCAAACCTGTGGCTTTTCAAATGCAAGGAGGTTTGTTCATGATTTGTATTTAAAAGATTTAGACCATGAATGGCATTTCCTTTCTTTAATTATATTTCTGTTAAAAATGTTTTGTCCTTGCAGTTTGCAATTGTTGGGTTCCAGTGTGGTGTAGTGGTGTGACACTGGGAGACCAGGGTCCAAATCCCCACTTGGACTTGGAAACCTACTGTATGAGCTTGGATAACTCATATTATCTTGGCCTTAAAAGAAAACAAAGGCAAACTCCATCTTAACACATTTTGTCTAGAAAACCATATGATGAACTCACCTTAGAGTTGCCATAAGTTAGAAATTACTTTCATGAACAACAATAAGACTGAAGAATCCAGATGTGACCTAATACATATCTTTCTAAGCAACTAAATATTCAGTCGATTGTAAGAGAAGTGAATTGTCCTTTTATCCTCAGATCAGATACTACTGCATGAGGCATATTGGATGGTACAAGTAATTTGTATGATGCAAGCAATTTGACTACAACACTAAGCATAGCCCTCATTTTATTTAAATCCCAACTTGCTTCTTTCTTTGAACTGGCACGGGCACTAAGATCTACCAGGGAGGCCCTCCTCTCAGTCCCACTTCTGTACCAAGTATGGTTGGTAGGGACAAGAAAGAGGGCCTTCTCGGTGGTGGCTCTGGAATGCCCACCCTAGAGAGATTAGGCTAGTCCCCTCTCTCCAAGCTTTACATATACAACTGAAGACATGGCTTTTTAGACAAGCCTTTGACCTTGTCTAGAAATTCAAGGATTTAGAGATTTTTCACCATGCACTTTATAAGACTGATATTGATGACAGTCGTTTTGTATTTTGCAGATATTGTTACATTTTATTTATCTTAATTAGGAGTGTGGTTTGTGATGTTTTTGTTGGTTGTTGCTGCTTTGTATTGTTGTCTTTGCACTTTTTGTATATTGCGTGTTTGCACCTTTGAGTACTTTGTGAGCCACCCCAAGTCCCTCCAGGACTTGGGGTGATGGGGTATAAATAAAGTTGTATTATTATATATTATTATCATTGCCTTTGCTTTTTGTGGGAACTGGAAAACTGTTGCTATCTACATCTGGACTGTACATTTCCCATAGTGAGTTAAGAAGCAATTATATATGACTCTGCCCTAGGGTGCTGTCTTCTCACTCCTCTCCATTTTGAGAAGTGGGAGTGTCTCAAAAGACCTGTACAGAATAGCCATTTGTTTCCTACATAAGCAATACTAAAATAAAGATTGCACAACCCAGCCCAAGCTTGGGGAATAGCATCTTTTATGTCTAGAGCTTGTCTTCATTTAATCAAGAGTCTGACAGCCTTGTTATAGGCACATGACAGATGCACAAGCCTCCTTAGTTCTTCTATCCTGCTGATGGCCACCAAGAATGCATTCATCTCAGATCACAGTTGACATTTCAATCCCTATGAAATCTCTGCTTTTTCAAGTCATGTGAGTAAAAAACAAATTGAAAAAGGGAGGAAATAACTGTCAGTCACAAACTGGAATGTGGAATTGGAAATAAAATGTGTGAATTGATTTAGAATGGAAGAGGCAGCTGAAGTCTAAACATGTCATTTCGGAATTATAAATGGTGTCACCACTTCCTTATTTGCATCTTCCAGAAATTCAGCCCAATTCTCTGCATGTCTAGTCAGAGGTAAGGACTATAGTGATAAAAAAAAGGCTTAGTTGGAGGCAAAAGGGTGAATTGGATTGTAGCCTTAATGACCATAATTTGTCTGTATAAAATAGGCTGTTTTAAAACTGGGCCAGTTACAGAATTATGTTACAAAAATAGCCTTACCTTTCAGGTCTTTGGTCAAAGCTGCTTCTTTTTTGTCTGTAAGAGATGTTTTTAAAAGCACGTGAATTAACATGCAACTCCATTGTACCAACAATTATCATATATTTTAGAACTGATTAGAAAATAATTACATAACTGAAGAGAATATTTTAGTTCATAATAGAGCTGGCCATGCTGAAGTACTTTGACCATCTGATGAGCTAAACATGTCCAGAGAAGGATGACCAGCATTATCAAAGATTTGGAAGTCAAGCCCTATGAAGAATAGTGGAGGGAGCTAGGTATGTTTAGCTTGGGGAAAAGAAGGCTGAGATGGAACATGGTAGCCATGTTGAAATATTTGAAAGGAGGTCACATTGAGCAAGCTTGTTTTCTGCTTCTCTGGAGATTGGGGCGCAGAGCAACAGATTCAAATTGCAGGAAAAGTGATCCCACCTAAACATTAGGAAGAACTTCCTGATGGTAAGAGCTGTTCATCAGAGGAATATTCTGCCTGGGAGTGTGTGTGATGGAGTCTTCTTCGCTGGAGGTCTTCAAGCACAGACTGGATGGCTATCTGTCAGAAGTACTTTTATCATGTGTTCCTGCATGGCAGGGGGTTGAACTGGATGATCCTTATGGTCTCTTCCAAATATATGATTCTATGATTAATATCGAAAGCACAGCACATAATTAACTCTTCCTCTTCTGCTGTTGTTTCTTTCCCGGTAGGAGGAAGGGAAATTGTGGGATTTGCTGTCTCTTGAGTGTCAAACTAACATGGCTAGTTTTGAGTCCCATATTAGGGAAATGTGAGATATTAAATAAACTATACAATAACTATATAATTTGACTTGAGGAAGGATTTGCTCTTCTGTCTCAATCAGCAATGTATTGGGCTGCTTCTGTGTGCAATACCATGCCATATGTCTTGAAACAGTAGATGGCCATATATGCCGTCCATAGAAGGAGCACCAGCCAAACCTAATCAAAGCATCTAGCCAAAGTAGCAATGTAATCTCCCAGGAGTAATGTGAGATCCAGTAACAGCTTGAAGGATCCCTCAGTCCTGCCTTTCTAGCGCCCAGGACTCTACCCAAACCGTATTTCTAGTGTGAAGAAACAACTCTCAGAAATCAGACCCTATGAAAAATGACTTAGGGATGATTAGCTTGGAAAAAAGAAGATTGACAAGTGATATCACAGTCTTTCAATATTCGAAGTGTCTTCTGCTGCTCCAGAAACTGGGATACAAACCAATAGATAGAAGTTGCAAGAACAACATTTCTAAATAAATATTAGGGGGGAAAAAACCTTCCTGATGGTGAAGACTATTCAGCAATGGAATGGACTTCCTTGGAGAATAGTGGACTCACCATCTTTGGAAGTGTTTGAACAGAGGTTGGATGGCCATCTTGTGGAAGTGTTTTACTGTATGATAGGGGCTAGACTAGATGGCTCTTCTAGTTTCTTCCAATTTAGATGTTTATGTCTCTGGGACTGAGGTTAACAGAAGTGACTACTTCAAGGGATGTGGAATTCCAGAATCTTTTCCCAGGATCTCTTTGAGAAATTTCCATCCCCACCCATCCTTTGTTTCTATTTGAATGGTAGGGGGGATTTTTCTTCCATGTGCCTTATTCTAATTTTCCACTGTGAGGACCTTTGTACCCTTTTTGGAATATTCCTGTTAACACCCCTTTTCTTTGATCAAAAGCAATAAAAAGCCTAGAAATGTCAAGGGGAAACTCATTTATTCTTGGGTGTATGTACATTGCACTTTGGACTAAAAATACTTCTGGGTTAATCTGCTGCCTCTATTAGCATGTTTTCCAGGAATCACTTCAAAGCATGCTAATTACCACATTGAGATGAAATTAATCATAAAGCAGCTTTCGGCCGTGGGGGTCTACTGAAGCATTGAAGAAACGCTTTAGAGTTGCCAGATATGGAAATTTTAAAAGGTGTCACTTGTAGTTGATATGAATCATTTATCACAATAATCTGCTGTTACTGGAAGCCATAAAACTTGAATATACCGGCAACATTATACACAATAGCAGATGTGATGTACAATTAAATACCACAAGATCCTTCAAAACATTCTGCTATATTGGAGCATTATGTTATACTCTAGATAAAGTTGCTCCTTTATACTTATATTTTTCATCTTTAACATGAAACTGAAATGCTGAAATGCTCTTGAGACAATTGAATAAGGAAAGGACCTACTGCATGAAAGAACAATCACATACACAGACTCTTTAGAATTGCATATAAAATACCCATGAAGAGGAAAACCACATTCTCTTTTCCTCTCCCTTTTCACAGTCCCTTAAGTCCCATTCATGGGTTTGCCTAAGTATTTGTTTAGTATGTAATTATTTCCATATTGTAGAAAAATATGAAAGTTAAATGTTGAAAACTGGGCCAGAAATGTAATGAAACTTTCTGGATTACTACAGGTTGAGTATAACTTACCCAAAATGCTTAGAAAGCAGAGGTGGATTATGTGTTTCTTTGGAATAGCTGTATTTGCATATGCATATGTAATGAGACATATTGAAAATGAAATCCAGGTTTAAACACATTAATTTCAGTTGAGTGATAATTTGGTATGGATATACAACTGAGCCCACCAGATTTTGACCCAGAAAAGAAGTCTGAACCAAAAACACAGCAAGAGAATCTCAACAACCTTATCATAGCGCTTTCACAACCTGCTACTAACACAAAACAAAAAAAGATATGCAAGAAGAGATAACTAACAATATTACTTCAATGATCTTGCATAAGTCTCCCCATTAAGTACAGGTTGAAAATCCCAAATGCTTGAGATCAGAAGTGTTTGATTTTTTTAAACCCCCCCCCCCCCCCCACACACACACAGATTTTAAAATACCTGTGTTGGCATATACATCTATAGGTAGATATCCAGGACTCACATATAAGCACAAAATTCATGAATATTTAATATACACCTTGTACACAGATAAGATCTTTTTAATAATTTGTGCATGAAACAAAGTTCACATACATTGAACCAGCAGAAGGCAAAGGTGTCATTATTTCAGACATTCATGTGGATAATTTTGGATTTCAGAATTCCAGATAAGAGATTCTCAACCTGTACTAAGATTGGAGGGTGCTGGTTAGTCTCTTCCCTCACACAACAGAGCTGTCAACAAGAAAGGCCTGGCTCCTCTCTTCCTCGGCACAGAACCATCATGTATTTGCCCTGTATTGCCATTGTAGAGACATACCAGCTCGCGCCTTTTCATTTATTTTTAATGTCCATATCTCCAGATCAATCTCAAACACTTTAGACTGTGTTATGTACTCCATGAAAAACAATCTGGAATATCTAGAAATTAGTTTAAATCAGTTCAGTTCGTTATTGAGGATTTGCCTGAAACAGTAAAATTAAGACGTGAATAGTGAATAACACTAGAAAAGCAGAAAATATCAGACTACAAAAAACTGAGCAAAAATTCATATCTAAGCAGGAGAACCAACTAAGGGCAGTTCCAGACTGCCCTTTATCCTAGGATCATTCACATTTTTAAAACGTGGATGTTCCTGGGGGGCTATCCACACTGACCCCAGAAAGCGTGCACTTTCTGGGGTGGCTGTCCAGATGTTCTGCTGGGACTAGCCTGGCAGAATATCTAGGGACCCACCCCTCCCCCAAAGCCCCCAAACCCCTTTGAAAAGTAAAGAAAACTTACCCAGCCATCATTACAGTTTTGGAGCACCTCTCCTGGCATGTAGAGATGATGCATAGAAATGATGCTCTTTGGGCACGTAGAAATGACGCTCTCCTAGCGCATCATTTTTATGTGCTGGGAGAGGTGCTCAAAGAATGTACTGGAGGCTGAGTAAGTTTTATTTACTTTTCAAAGGGATTTGAGGGCTTTGGGTGATGGGGGTGGGTTTTCCCACAGTTTTCCATACTAATTTAGTACAGAAAATGGTGGGAATGGTGTGGAATAAACTGACTATTTAATTAATTCGCTAAACAAATTAATTTGGGATTGTCTAGGTCATCATCTGGACAGTCCCTTTTTTATTGCAGGAGTTAACGCAATAAAGGGGCTGACTATATCCACTCTAAGAATCTGGATGTATTAGCAACACTCTGTTGTTCAATGTATTGTTGTTTGCCTTCATTTCATTTCTGAACATGTGGCAACTCTAAAGAGAACCTATCACAGGTTATCCTTTAGCAGGAATTATTCAAAGATAGTTTCCCTTTTGAAAATTAAGAATGAGACATTTTATGACTAGAACATCACAATCCAGAACAATGTGACCATTTCAGAGAGATGCAAGCCATTTTTATATATAATTATGTTGAGATGTAGAATAGGTATTGGAAGCAAGGGCTGAATACGGCAAAGATCCATTGGGATTTGATCTATCTCTTGTCATCACATAGTGGTGATGGTAGTATTTGTCAGTGATGCTACTCCATTGAAGGGGGATCTGTCAGAAATTATAAAAGGGGATTTTTTGCTTCCTTACTTTATAGTTGGTGGAGAAACCTTTTTTCTTGCTGATTCTATGGAAACAGTACCACACGGGTAAACATTCTGTTTCTTTATTTTAACAAGCAAATATTTTAACAAACATGATGCAACTGTATCCTTAGTTGTGTGAAGTCAGTGAAGGGTACGTACCAATCTCAGAGAAAGAGCAAAGCACAGCCACTTCTCAGCACAAGCAACTCTGTTTTACCTCAGGCCTCAATCAACATTCCTTTGAAGTCAACTCGCAGCAACACAGTGGTTGCAAATGACATCTAAACCACACACAGATGGATAAAAACTAAGCTCCTGTTGTGATATCCCTAGGTGGCTTATAATAAACCATTATGCCTTACTGCTCTTTCCCAGAATACTTTGAGCACAAACACATTTTTAACTCAATGTTTCACACCTTGAGCTGGAATGTATTTGTGATTTAATGTGTGCAATGCCTTTGCAAACTTTCACCAAACACAGGCATGCAGGATGTTGTTGTTGTTGATGATGATGATATTTTATTTATATCTCACC